GTGATATAGATTTGTTAATGTTTCACGAGACATGCTTCAATTATTTTCGAACTAGAAATTTTTTTCACCATTTCCTTATTTAGAAGGTATATGGGAAAATCGATGATCTTAGGTGAATAAAATAGTCTTAGCATATTTAGATGTCATGTATTGTCTGTAGATCCTTAAATGATTAGTATTTACAGTTCATCGCTCAATGGTAACGACAATGATTAGTCAGTATATATTAACTTTTAAGACCACTATGTCACGTTGAAGATTTTGGTTATATTATTTATTTTAACTGTTGATAGCTATCAAAGTTGGTGGAATATTTTTGACTTGTATTAAGAGGTGTGTTAAGTTAAAATATACGCATCCTTGATCATTGGGATATTTTTTGTGTACCATTATCGTACATCAAAACGGATTAGGCCGGTAGCAATGAAGGAAAATTTACCCATTCAATAATAACTAATGGAAAACCATATATAGAAATAGATCTTTGTACCAGTAATTTTGAGGAATGGTAAGTTACTTGGCACCTGGTACAGTAACGTGCTCTTAAAAATCATGTCATTTGATGATACTAAAAAACAAAAGGAAACTAAAATCAGTCTATCGGTTAAATGCTCTGGCGCGAGACTGGTAGGTCCTGGGTTCGAATCTCGCGAGTGCGGGATCGTCGATACGCACTGCTGAGGAGTCCCACAATAGGATGAAACGGCCGTCCAGTGCTTCCAGGTTTTCGATGGTGGTCTAGCTTCAATTGGCTGATGATCTCAACTCTATAAAATCATTAAAATCTCCACCAAACCGCTTCTTATAAAGTCGTACAATCTTGTATGTATTAAGGACTGAAGAACATGAACTCAAATAAAATGATTCAAGAAAAAGGAGTATCGATGAAAATTTAGGATTAAATCTAGGATTTGACCTTGACAAATAACCTTGAATTGTATTTATAACAATCTATGGTGAATAATTCCCATTTTTATCGATATTTCTATTATTTGTTTACATTTCTTTTAATGATCTATTTATTAGCTAATAGTTTCATGAATTTTCACCAGATTTTGATTTAATTGAATTGAAATACTTTGATTTCTTCATATAGTATAGTTATTAAAGATTTTTAAGGTGTTCGTTTGATAACAATAAACAGAATATTACCCTAAATAATAAACAGTATAAGTTTATTAATAGATCAATATCCTTAGGTTACTGATATCAGACTAAGTGTTCCTGTTAGATATCAATCGTATATTAATTTGTTATGTCTTTCATTCATAATGAGCATTTAATTAACTTCATAATAAAAGAGTAATCATAATCAAACTCTGTGTTTTTGCTTATATGGAAAATTTTTAAGGGGTTAACAAATACCAGTCAAATTTTCATTATTTATCATATGGTTTCACTATTCACTAAATTGATAAGTGTATATGCATGGAAATTAATAAACAGTTTCTGTCACTTAACTTTCATTAAGTAGATTAGAATTGAGTTAACTAATTCCAATCGCTTAACATCTTTTTCTTAAATTGTATACAATATTCAATGGTTAATACTTAGTACTCTTCAAGGATTTCATTTCAATAATATTGTACATAATAATCTCTTTATTTTTTTTAAGCTCAACCATTTATTATTAGGGTTTGATGTTATTTTCTAAGAGAATAATTTTAATAAAAGAAATAAAGTTATTTTCGGTAGTATTGTATTTTCTTAGTTGTATAATCTAAATGATAAAGATTTCTTCCTATTTGGGACTCGTCAGCTGGATGTACTTGCATCTCAGAGTTGATGTTCACTCTGGGACTCGAACCCAATACTATTCGCTTCAAACGCCATCAAGTTATCCACTTGGCCACTGAGTCCTGATAGCCACTATCCATCTCTGCTTACCATGCTTGTGAATTAAGGCTATATTGAGGCAATACGCACAGTATGCACGTATGCCAGTTGCAGTCCAAAAACATCGATGGGAAGATTCAAACAAACAATACTAAGTGTAGATAAAGATTTCTGTTCTTAATGTAGATTGATGTTATCCAAAACGGGAATAAATGATTAACAGTTGAATTATCCAGTTCATTGAACTTAACAACTTTAAGTACGGTTATTAATACGGTTATTATTACGGTTATTAATAGTAGGACTGTAGAGAATCATAATCGTTTGGTTTTCGGAAAATATTTTTTTTTGCACAGACACTTTTATCCCACTGATTTGTTTGAATATGTAATCAAATCAAACTACTTGGTTTTGATCATTTTCTATATCTGACTAAATATTCGGAAATAAATGTGAAGTAGTTCTGATTTTCAACTGCCATTGAATTTCGATATTACATGACTTATTTTATGTTATCGTTGAATTGAAAACAACCATTAATATACTGATGACCATATACTAATATATATATATATATATATATATATATATATATATATACTTTTAAAAAGCTAATTTAATTTATTACATAGATTATCATTGTTTAATTAAAATAATAATTTAGATCACATGTTGCTTTCATGTACTATATTGGCAATTCATTTGATACTATGTAAACTATATCTAATCCAATGTATTTCATTACTGTGATTTCGAATAAATTAATCCAAAAATAAACTCTCTGTTATTTTTTCATGCAATCGACTCAACCCAAAAATTTCAATAAAGCAAGGATTGCATGAATCCCAAAAATACGGTGAATTGATTGTTTTTCGTTATTTTTTGCTCCCAGCCTAGAATACATTGCCGGGACTATTTCACATCAATTTTCACTGTATTATCTACTAATGATAACTGGTTCTTTTCGTCTTGGAATGAATAAATCACTAGATTTGACTGGATTTTCATAATGATTTACCATTTTTTATGCTTACATCATCGCTTCTTTTCTAAGACATGTGATACTACTATCTCCGTATTCTGTGGCGTTAGCCAAGGTTTGGAAGAGAAATTAAGTCAACAGTGACATTGAATGAGAATCGCAATGTGTCGAAAACTGATTGAAACTGAAAATCGGTGTCATTGGATCCTGACTCAATATCTTAAATATATTGTGATCATTGAAGGGATTTGAAGGTCATAAATTGGTCATAGGTGTGTACACTGTTCTATAGTTTCAAGATTGCTCAGTACTCTCTAGTTTCACTCATCATCTAGCTGACATCAGTTTACAATGAAATTGACCTTTGAAATATATAAAAGCTTTCCATTAAACCCAATCTATGTAATAGTCAACTTTTATTAGTTTATAATCTTTCAGTTTTTTATAACTTATATAAGCTAAAGTCTTGATTGTAATATTTCATTATATAAAATAATAATTAAGGTACCATGAGTTTATTTTATTTTACTAAAGATTATTACCATCTGAACATAAATAAAATATGTAAATTTCCGTCATCATAACAGAATTATAAAGTCCTTGAATAAGATTACTTGTTTGTCAGCAGTTATGTTGCCATTATTCAGTTAAGTAATCATTATATATATATATATATATATATATATATATATATATATATATATATATATATATATATATATATATATATATATATATATAATCTCAACTTCTAATCACATGTCTAACGTACTTTAGGGAGGTATATTCATGCATGGTGTCAGCATTGAAAGTATTTTCTTCAACTTTTCAAACAAATAGTGTGTACAGGTTTATTATTATTAATCTGGAATATTCTTGTTCACTTGTTCTCCTACCTTTCTCTCTGTGGATATATCTAGTATACTTACTTACTTGCTTACTTACTTACTTACTTACTTAATTACATTTTACATCAGTTCACTAGTAATCATTGCTGGTGTAGTATATAGAGGAGAGCTTTTAGAGACATTCTGTATTATCTTATCATTTACTTAATTATATCTGTGTGTATGTGTACGTATTTTCGGTAGTTCTATTGTATATTTTAACTTTTCACGATTCTTCTAAACTATTTTAAAACACCGTCTTACTAATTTACAGTACAGATTAATATTTCGTTATTTTTTAAATTAATACTGTATAGTAAATATATGGCTGCATTGATAAATATCTAAACTGTAATTGAATTCTCAAGATCAGTATTTCAATTGTTTATATTGGTTGACCGTAATTCTACTATTATCCTTTGATAAACAAATTATTTTGTAACTTTGATCTAAAATTAATTGGTACAATCACTTTAAAGTCTAACAATCTATCCACATAGATATATGTGAAATTTTCTATGCATTGAATCAATTGAACAATTCAGTTTGAAGTTTATTTTCATGTTGATACATTGTGTTTATCATATTTTGAACTTAATTTACCTTGCGAAAATGAAGAATGTAATGATTATTAAGTCATATGGAATGCAATACGTAATTAAATGCAATAGTTTGAGTCATAAGTATTTGTATGAAAACCAGTATATGATTGCATAACTGTCAAAACTTTTGTTGATGAGAGTATAGTGACAGATTGAATTGTTGAGCGACAACTCCATGAGTTTGTGCATGCTAATTTTATGCGCTATCACCCTCCATCTCATAGTTCATTTGTCAGATAGGCTTCATGAGGAATCCAAAACCACACGCTGTACACTGAAGATCTAATATGATTAAACATGCATTATGATGTGGTTCAATTCCATATTGAATGTATTATAAAAGAATGCTGAACAGTATTACATATTAACTGTGACATTATAAATATAAAGTTAATAGATGATTGCATAAACTACTCAAAGTTACAAAACGTTTGTGTTAAATTAATGATGGCAGTGTTGTAATGAAGTGAAACACCGTTTCACTATCTAATTGCGTATTTTCTCACATTCGAATAAATAATCTTTTTTTCACACCTCAAAATGCTCGATGTTTTTGTTTTTCCTTTTATAACTTAACTTATTCACGACTTTATCTGATATGAAAATTAAATATTCAGAAATTTCTATCTTTTTTCCACAATTAATTTAATAAGGTAGTGATTCATTGTTTTCTTGATAAAAATAAATTTTTAGACATGAAGTCCTCATTGAAGTGGAGTTGTTGAAGTCTGAAATAGAAAGATTAAAAGCAGAGGTAAGCGACATTCATACATTGATTTGTGAAAACGTCTCTGAAAAGTATAATGTTAGACCATGGAATTATTTTATTCATAAGAGATTCTTGAAAGTGACCAGTTGAAAAAAGGTAGTTGTACATTAATCATTTGGTCTGTAGTCAGCACGATTTTAACGACCAACAAAATTATGGACAATTTAGCTGAAGAATATACTGTAGATTATTTAAAGAGTAACCGATGACTGAAAACATTCAGTACTCGTCAGTGTCGTTATGGTTACTTTTCTTTAAAGATAAAAAAGATGAACTATCATTTATGTGTGTATTAATTATGAAGTAGAAAATCTATCACCAAAACAATATTTTCTTCGTGTTACTCGACTTTAAAATAAATGATGTATGAGCATTCGATTGGTTTATTGGTTTATATGTAACAACTGCGGTTTCATTGATAGATTAGGTATAGTTGTCATGTCATATTTGAGGTATTAGCAAATCGTTAAAACGGATTCTGAAGTTCCAAATAGAAAATCAAGGTTATGTAGACAATATTAAATAGTTATTCACAAATAATCCGTGTTTTCATACTGAAAATATCAGACGAAGAGAGTTTTTAGAGTCCGGATAATTTCATATCCCATATAAAGTCTCTGTGTAGAGTTTGAAACGTTTCGTTTATTTTTTATGAAACAGCATATCTAAGTGCTTAACAGTGAGAAATTTCAACCTGAAATGACTACTGATTTTGCGGTAACTAAAAGAGATAGCCAGGATAGAAGTTCTCTATTATATGGAATTATTCAAATTGATGTACGTGAATTTGAGCTTTATTGATCCTGTCAGGCTTCGAACCCTGTCCTTATCTCTTTGGATCGGATGTTATTAAGTAAAGTAACGATTATGAACAATGAATTCTTAAGAAATGAAATAGTAAAATTATTTAGGTTAGTGGTTTTCACATCAAACTAATGTTAAATAAAAAATATATTGGTATTGTTGAGTTGAGGGGTTTTGTGAAGATCGGTTTAGTCTGTTGGTTATATTTGTCAAAGGTTGATTTTAGTTAGGGTAATATTGAAAACCAGAGAGCACTGGACAGGTGCTTTGTTTTCGTATATAACTCAGAAAAGGACACTAAAGACCCAACCAAGGATCAAATTCAGTGACATCAGGTTTTGCGGTGAACCAGTGGTCATTACAAAAATTGTCCAATGGCACAATTCCAGCATTGATATATATATATATATATATATATATATATATATATATATATATATATAGGGTGACGATTATCCAACGCCACTGATGACGACTATTCCACTTTCGACATGTTTGAATGTCCTCAGTTCTATCTCTGATGGAGTCATGGGTATGCACTGGTGTGGATTCCCATACGAGAACAAAACACTTCTAATGCTTACTAGTTTTCAGTGGTACGTAATGTTCAAAAATTAGCGAACAAAACATTTTATACTACTTCGTAGTAACGGTCACCCCAAGAATTTTTTTTGTCTTGTTGAATTTTTTCGTAATATTTTTCTAGTAAGAAAATCTCTTAACTATGAATGTTGGATTATTTACATCTCTTTTTTGCTTCTTCCTGTTTTCGTTCAGCATCATGAACAGTCTTATTCACTTTTGAATCGCATACAAATATTAGAAGATGAAATCAAAGAACTTGTACAATATAAGTCTAATCATGAAGAGGTAAATATTTTTGAAAATATACTATATCGATTAAACGCTTGTGGAAATCGTGCTTTATTTAAAGATCATTCTCAGCATAGATTAACTTTGATGTTGGTTTGTTCTCTGAGCTGGGTGGTTTGGTCGCGACCAGACCACCCAGCTCAGAGAACAAACCAACATCAAAATCACCCACCTGAGCTACAAATCTTCTCCACCATAGATTAACTTTGCCTAGATAACGCTTATGCAATGCCTTTTGGTTTTCTGTGGTTATCGTTCTGATACCGATTTGTGTCGTAAGGTATCTTGAAACCAAATGATCTTAAGTCTCCAATCAAAATGATTATATTCAGTTACTCATTAATAACTAAGTCTAAAAGTAATTCCCGAAGTTCTGTTGAGAAGCCATCAGCGGTGAACTACAGCCGTGTTGAAAGTGAGACAGTCATCACCAAAAGCAAAAGATGAGTGCCTCTGAATAAACTAGAGTAGGTTATGTAGATCACTGGTTACCGATTGACTGATATAAACGTAAGTCGTTCGATAAGAGATTTGATAGTCATGTGTTTGATACCTGGCAGAGTCATGGGCGTACAGTGCTAAGAAACCCCAGTACCAATTTCTCCACGAGTAATAAAAAATGAGTAACAACGGAGAATGAATGCTACGAAATGGAATTAAAAACCGAAGATTTGGTATAAGATTAGATAAGAATGTAACTAGTCCACTACAACTCATTCTTTCTCATATCTTCTGATTAATTCAACCACCAATTACAATTGTCTCTAATATCAACCATCGGGTTTAAGTTGCTTGAATTGGTTCAAACCTGAAATCAGTGTTGGTTGGTTTCGATTATTAATGTTAATTACTTGAAGATTTTATAATTGTACAATGAATTTTACTATCTGATTAATAGACTTTGATAAGCATTAAGTGATGATTCCTAATCGTCCAGTTATTCATATAATCTTATCTTGTATATAACCCATTAAAGTCTATGTATGTTACAAATCTCAATCAATGGCGATGAAATATGTTCATCTGATTATCAAAATATGTATAAGTTCGAAATTGAACGTTAGATCTATTTGTCTTATTGTTTATTTCTAACTGTCAAACTGAAGAATTAACGTGTGCGTTTTATTGTATACATAAAAAATAGCATCATCTGACTAATTTTAATGAAGAAGGTTGTAGCCATTAAAAAAAAACAGTAAATTTTCTCAAAATTTGCATGTGGATCAAAATTTCGTCATAAAAAATATAAAATCAACTCTGAAGGGAATAAATACTTCGTTTTAGGAAAATTGAATTGATTTTTTTTCTGACATATATATTGGTCACTTGATTTATTAAAATAAATAAAAGGTGTCCTCTTGTATAGTCGTCCATTTGTATATTCAATGATCTGCGATTGAACAAAGTATGTTAAACATAGATAACGTGTAGAAGAACATCCTGGAACATTTTTAAACAGATGCATGGTGGCCAGGATTGGAATTCAGGACTCGCGTTTCTTTTTATTTCAGACTCGTCAGCTGTATATACCTGCACCTTAGAGTTGATGTTCACTAAGGAGCTCGAACCCATTAACGTTCACTTTAAATGGCATCCCTACCGAGTCCAGATAGCTACTAGCTTGTATGATGGGTGAATTTAAATTTATATGAATTGATTGGTTGAATCCTTCTATTAATATTTAGGACTAGAACTGATCAGTTTCATTTAGCATATGTGGCTCCTGTGCGGATTGCCTCGATAATGCCACTAAGTCATAAGCATTTTAAAGTTGAGATTAGTGGCGAGATCGAAACATAGAAGCACGAGATCCACATTTGCTAAAAGAGATTGACCAGTCGCAGTCCTAAACATTATGAGATCTAAACAACTGATAGATATAAATTCTGGAACATGAATAATAGCAAAAGACAAAAAGCTTAAAAATAAATGGTCACGTAATGAAGAAACGCTAATAATAAGTAAAAATAAAATAAGTAAAGCTCAAGTTATTTGGCGATAAAATTATTAAAATAGAAGATAGTCGAGGAAATCGTTTAACGAAGTAACCAAATGAGTGGAGTAGTTGAAAACCTCCGATCAAATAACAGTTTCCAAGACAAAACAGATTGAAAAATATTTCCTTTTTAACTCAGATCAACTTTCAGACGCTTATTGGCAATAGCTTCAGTAAAGATTCTTTGGTGCCTACTCTTATGTATTTGACCTAGACTGTAGCCAATTGTTATGACTTGATCAAGGTCGTCGCTGATTCGTTATGACCTTACGAATTAAACAAGGACGTAAGTCGCGTAAATTATCCACCAATAGAATACGACTTCTACGACCTTCACACTGTGACAATGACGTTCGATTAGTGTGAGTAATCTAGCGCCCTTATTGGTCCTTATCCGCCTAACCCGTCCACTTGAGTCCGAAACACCAATAGCAGCTGCTGTAATGCGAATCGTTTATTTCAAACATACTTTGTCTATATACCCGACAGAAAGACCACACCACACCATAAAATAGAAAATAATATTTGTACAAAATCAAGCCGAACGTGGCTGGAAGCGTGGGAGACAGTACTCAATAAACCGAGTATAATTTAGGAACAATAAATCATATAATAATAATCAATAGGTCAAAATGAAGCTAGTAATAAGATGAATATAGACATAGATAATCCAGTTACTGAATAGTTATACCATAGGAATATAAATAGATTAATAGTCTAATAAGAGGTCCCGTAAGTTATCAGTACTTACTCTTTCCCTAGTATATAACACCTACTTACTTTTCTATTCCCAAATTCTGTATAAAAATTGCGATACTCAATGTTTGTATTCCTCTTAAACGAAGGTTTTAGGAAGCATTTCTGGAAAAATCAAGAGTATTCCATTCTTTTTCGTTTGGCAGTAAAACTTACTTGGCAGCTAAACCTACGTTTATACAAAAATGGCCGTAACATGAAAGTTGTATCTAGTGTCCTTTGATCGACTTAATAAACATGTTATTTTATGCAAGATTATTGGTTTGGATTCAGATTAGTTTCTCATTGGTGCAATATTAAGTCTTGTACTAATTGTCCTTAATGGGTATTTTAATTACTGTAGCTACTTTATTGTCCTTAGTTTTTCTACATTTATCAATAAATACTTGTAGATATCAATTATTTCTTGGTTTTCAACATTTATCAGTTCTCCCAAAATGAATTGATAAAAGGAGGTTAAGGTCTCTATTTAACTGGATGGTTTGTAGAATCAGTCATTTTCCCTGGTGCTCTACAGTATGAAGTAGTTTATTGTGTTGAGATATTAGTGAATATTTGTTGTTTACGATAATGTTAATGTTGAAATTGAATTATTTGCGCTGGGTGGTTTAACTATAAAGTGTTGTCTAAAAAGGCAATAAAAAATTTATAATCAAACCATCTAGCTTAAGAATACAATTCTTATAAAATTTCAGTGCGTAAATTTCATTGTGTAGGGTAATTGGAAAACAAAAACTGATTAATTTTCCTTTCTTATTTTTTCTGCATTAATTCATTTAAAGATTTTTCTTCCTAGTCTTCTACAAAAGAAACTTTTAATTTATTCTCTCATTTTTAAACAAAATTTTTATTTGTTCTTTCTATTCATTTGTTTGTTTACTCGTGTCTGTGTGTACTTGCTTATTGTTTGTTTACTATTCAGCTTTCTACTGTTTTTTCGGTGCCTTTTTATGTTTCGGGAAGAGCTGAAATAATAAACATCATTTTTTTCAAAGTTCAATGTCCAACTGTTTATCATTATTCTTAGTACCATTGGTAGTATCAGTATTAGAATTACGTCGTTATTTTCTATCAGAGCTTGGATTAGCCAGTTGCTAAGGTTTATTAAGAAAGGAGTTGTGTTAAGATTATTGACTAATAAATCACCCTGGAAACCTAAAAGATGCCTTGTTACACCTGGTTTTCAATTAACAATATTCACAATCCCACTTTCCTAGGAATAATTAGATTTCTACTAGTGACTAGTTTTGAAATGAATTCACAAATGTTTATCGAAAACTCGATGACGTGTTAGGTATGTATGTATCGGGATCCGTATATTCAGAGCATTTGACGATTGTAAAATACCATTTCTGAATTCAATGAGGCTAAAAATTATAACCCATTGAATTTAATCTCCATAATATGAAGGTATTGTACTCATCGTGCTACTTGAATTTCAGAAACGCAATCATCAGTGAGCACTTTTGAGAATTCTCAAACCAGGCTGAAACACGTATGTAGTGCTTCATAATATTCAGTAATTTTCCATCTGGTGTCAGTTTGTGATGACAACTTAGAACCACCTTGTCCCCCTTAGTTTGACAATACTAAAATTAGGTGGACATTTTTCTTTCTTCCCGTAGTTTTGTCTGTTCAGGAAAAACTCTTATCAACCAAACTATCCATTGTCAGTTCGAACTTTTGATTTGAAAGAAGTTAAATTTAGAAACTGGTGTTCACATAAGATGAATTTTAGATTTCAAAGATTTTTTAGTATTTTCCGAATTAAATTTTGGTGCTAGTACGATTGTCCAATTCTTAAATACTATTTCAAAATAAATTACTGATCAATACTATTAAACTAAAAATACACATTGGGATATCTTGTAAGAAGGCTAATAGAACTAAAATATATTTCTTTTCAGTCATTGTTTCATCATGCTGCTGATCATGGCAATTTATTAGAATTTCGGGAACTCTTTTCTAAGTTGTTTAATAATGAGCTTTTCCCTCCATTTAATCAATAAGACAATCTTTGTGGTTGAAGACAACCCTATACTTCTAGAACATTCTTCAGAGATCATCTAAACTAGGTAGTGTACTAGTCAAATCTGAAAAGTATATGTTAACTGTATACGTATGAAAAATAACTTAAATTTTGACAATTTTGTCCAAAAATATTGAAAAAAAGTCGTGACCAGTGGAGCTAATCCATGTCAGGTAGAGACAGGTATCTACCTCAGTACAATGGAAGTTGGTCGCGCAATTTTGTGGATTGGTTGAGGTTAGATATTAACACCGTTGGATGCCGGCTCAGTGGTCTATCGGTTAAGTACTCTGGCGCGAGACTAGTAGGTCCTGGGTTCGAGTCCCGCGAGGCATGATCGTGGATGCGCACTTCTGAGGAGTTGCGTAACAGGCGGTCTAGCTTTAATTGGCTCATGATCTCAACTATATAAGATGACTTTATCAACATGGAAAATTAATATTACTTATCAGAAGTATCTATTAGCAAAATTGGATTTGCATTTAATCTTATCATAGTAACTAAGGTATTGAACATTTTAGAAATTAAGTTACACATTTGAACCTCTTCTCATCTATCTTGGTCTCAAAATGAATTCAATAAATCTGTAATTAATCATTGAGTTGTACCGTAAAATTATGATTATTATTTTAAATATTATTACTTTTTAAAAATTATTTAATTAATTATAACCAAGTTACTCAATCATGATTAAATGTGGATTTCATTGAAATTTTCTCGTATACATTAATTTAGTTCGTGATTAAAGCGAACTAATTGTTTTCGGACAAACTTATTTCAGTATAGTCTTTTTTTGCCTCTTTTTCACGCGTTTTCTTATCGTAGCAACAAGTGAACTATGAGACGAAATTAACTGAAAAAGTTTGTCAAGCTCAGTTGTTTGAAGAGAAATTTTTAAAATTAAAAGAAGTCTATACTAAACTACGTGAAGAACACGTTGTTCTATTGAAAAATGTATGTTTATCACTTTTTTTTGTAAACTGCATATTAAATTCCATTCACTGGATGTATAATATTCGATGAGTGATAAAACATTAATAAATCATAATTGTATTCACCTACTAGAAATGGATTGTTTGAAGTTTCTATGGAAAACTGTGGTCTACGTGATCAGACAAGTAAGAATTAAGATAGTAATTCATCACCAAAATTGAATGAGTATTATGCTTTACCACTATTATCTGGAGTTGAGAAGCTTTAGATAAAAAAATATTGACTTGAAAAAATAATGCTTTTTGCAAGATTTAAAGGTCGAGTTACAGATTTCTTGTGGAATCTTGGTACACCTTTTTGAAGAGTCTAAAATCAGGACGAAAAGACTGTGAAAAACATTTTTACAAAATTTGTGTGCTGAGCAAAAGAATGAAATTCTAATTGTTAAAAATCTAGTCTCTGAAATTTTCGCAAATGTAAATGCCTTTGGGATATCTACTTTTTCTGTTCAAATCCCTATTAATCGAACAACCTTCAAGTTAAATAGATTTCTTTTCTGACCATTTCTCTGTGAGTGGAGATTATGCTATCCTCTACACGACCTGTATTACGCATATATATATATATATATATATATATATATATATATATATATATATATATATATATATATATATATACTGTATTTCTCATAGAAATCCCAGCCTTTGAAGAGTGCCTCGCAAATTTATGATTTCGCCTGTTTCACATTCCTTTTTTTCTGGTCAGTGTTTGTGTCAGCATATAGTGGATTGTGTTTGAGTAATTCTGAAGCTTTTGTGAGATTGCTGTGGAATGCAACACCGACAATTGCCACTTTGCTCTGAGTAGCTATATTGCCATTTTTATTTTTATTTTCCTTTGATACAAGGTTGTCACTCATTCCTACCATTGTTTTCAGTTATTTCATTCTATTCATAGTGAACGCTTATCCCGCATTATTTTTTGAGTTATCAACTTGTAATTGTGAAAACATGGAATTATACTTCCACTCGCTTAACTTCCCAATTATTGCTACTTTGTTAGCTTACCTTTCGTTAATGAATCTGCACAAACTGTTTAGCGATGATTTTTTTCTCATTAAAACATTACAATATGAATAGATTTGGTTTTTCAAATAATTCTAAGTGGAAATTACTGATATTACGGTCTGTTATCATTGGTTTTTATAGCTAACAATTCTAGAATTTCTACCCTTTTATACATTTTAAAAAGCATTGAACTGTGCAAGTAGATTAGATTTCATGTAATGTGTCATTAACTAACGATTGAAGTTTTTAAAAAAGTACGCCAACATTGTCAAAATGAAAGTTCTGTTGATAATGGTTCCTTTATTGTTGTTAAACAATTAGTACATACTTATTTATTTAGTACTTACGCCTGTTACTCCATACGAGGGAACATAGGCTGCCAATCTGCATTCTCCATCGAACTCTGTCATGGTCAATCCTTTCCAGTTCTTTCCAGTCTCTATCGATATTGTACTGATATCATTTTTTTGCTTGTCATTTTCTTTTTTTGCGAAAGATAATTAAAAATGTAAAATTTTATCAAAATCTTCGGTAAAAGCCTCAGATATATCATGATAATCAATTTCTTTTTCTAATTTATCAGTCAGTATCCCAATTCAACTTTCTGTTCGTGAGCTTTGATAACGTTTTTCAAAATAACTTCAACAACTGTTCTTTGAGAATCCTGTTTGGTTTGTGATTCTGATTCACATTAACTGAGCATCAATTAGTTACCAATATCATACTTCATGGTAATCAGATTCTTGATATATGAGATCACGGTATAGTCATTGGTCTAAATGATTCGATTTTTCTGGGCAGTATATTTGATGTTATTTGACTAGAGACAATGGTCCGGGAAATCTTGTTTTAAGTTCTCTGCTATCTGACATCCTGAAGCAGCCCGTATTATCAGTCTCTAGGAAAATGATACCACTCGTACGATTTGGATCCAAGCTACCGACTGTTACTGCAACTGATTTTCACACTGAACGATTCAGCCAACACTGTTTCTCTGCATGATAAATTAACATTTTATTTATTTTATAAATTATCTCACCGATTTAAAAGTTCGCAAAATATCTCAAGAGAACTGAATCATTTTCTGGCAATTTCTCAAGGTTATTCCTATTCTTCATAGTACTTCTGAAGTACCTGAATGTTCACACTTCTAATAAACAATAAATTGAGTTAAGTAATGTCGACAAATGTTTAGTAGTTTTCAATAGTTCTTTAACTAATATAGAATTAATAATGATGTATGTATAATGCATGTATAGCTTCACTATCTTACAAATATTATTGTATATAGTTCTCATATTATGTAGCTTACTTTATTATCTATTCATTTATATACTATAATTTTTAACTTTAAACAATATTTCATCTTATATATTTGTTTGTTATTTTTTTATTTAACTTATTATCCTTTTAGTATGGCAATATACAACAAAATTTACAACAAGAAACTCAAAAGAATCAAGATTTAGTAAAAACAATTGAAGTAAGTATGTCAGTAATATTGTTTTATTATTCCAAGATATAAATTCATTCTTAGCAATTATTATTCACGGATTAATTTGGTGTTTTTCTAAATAATCTATCTGATGTTGAACTCTATCTAGAAACGCGCGTCCTGGATTCCACTGCTAGCCACTATCCATCTTTGCTTACCATGCTTGTGAATTTAGACTATATCGAGGCAATACGCATAGTATGCACATATGCCAATTAGAGACTGACCAGTTGCAGTCCTAAAAACATCGATGGGAAGATTCAAACAAACAATACTAAGTGAATCTATCTAGATTTGTTTTAAAAAAGAAATGTAACTACTGAGTAAGAGTTTTGAGGGAATTCTTAAACTGCTCCTTTTTTGTGATCACTATGATCTTTTAGTTAGAACTAATATTACTAATGAAATTACTTATTATCATAATGTTTTGTAAATATGGGAATACGTCCTATTTAGACTTTGATACCTGACTAGCATAACACGCTTTACGTTCTAATCCCCCAGGCACTTCAAAAACCAATTTTTCAAGGAAGATTTATTGAGAGGATCAGAGATGATTAGTTTAAGCAAACAATTAGTGCATATAAGCGCGTTTATAATAATGATTTTTGACACAGGGCAAGAGATTAGTATGCCCGATAGCCCAAGAAACAGCAATGACGTGAGATCATTTTATTGCATTGAAAACGAAGGTTGTTTTCTGTAGCTAGATTGATTACACGAGGAAAAAACAAAACTCGAAATATATTTAACAAAAATAACAGCATAATCCGTCAGCAAGTGGTTTGTAGATATTGTAACTGTTGTATCCCGTGGAGAATTATGAATGGTAACTTCGAGATCTATTTATGGACCAATATGATATTCATATTTCCTATTGTATAATTTCTCAGTAACTCAACTATTCATATTCAAGTTTCTTTTATGATAAGCTTTATTTTGACCTATACGATTTACCATTCTTGAGTTATCCCTAGTCTATTGATTACTGTTCCCGCTATTCACACTCAAATTTGGCTATATCTTGTACAAATGTTATTTTCTATTTTATGGTATGATGTGGTCAGTTTGTTTGGTATATAAACCCAGTATGTTTGTGAATAATGATTGATATTGCACAGTCTGTTAGTGGTGTTCTGGACTTAACTGACTGGGCTAGGCTGAACGCAGGACTGATAAGTACTCAAGACTACTCAATACGATTTTGTGTATCGTTGGGCGATCAATAAATTTGCCTCTCTCTAATTAGCAATAATCAGCACGTTCATATATTAAACAGGGCACGCACTCACACGATATAACAGTAACATCTTTAACATATGGAATATAGATATTTTAACAAGCGATTAAACCTAGAATTTATATTTAGCAAATTCTTGTTGATGGTAAACGGCATTATATTTAGGTAAATAAAATGATATGGCTTTAGAGATTCTCTGTGTTTGTTTAACCCTTCTTTCTGTCCTCCAATCTCTCTCTCTCTCTCTCATACATTTGTATACATTTGAACTAAATCGCCTCCTGGCATTATTCTTCTTCATATACACCATGTCTGAAATGATTTTGAATAATCCAATTTTCAATTCAATTATGTCTTATTCTCTGTATAATAAATAAAAGTTTATTATTACAATTTCAGTCTAAGTTTTTTATTTGATTTTATCGGTAAAATATAACTTCATTTTGTTTTATTATTTGGTATATATTTAGTATTTATTATACATTTTGTTCAGTTATAAACAATCTAGTTAATGATAAACACATAAAGATGCAAACTATGATAATTTTTTATTTATATATCCATTCAGCTAAGATATATATGTATTGTCTGGTTAACATTACGAACTTGGACAAACACAATGTAATAAGAATAAATGTAACGTAACATTAATATTCTGTTAAATGAATATTCAGAAATACGTTGTTTATCAGTGCCTAGGATCATCTGTTAAAACATCGTTTTTCATTTCATCGTGGTCCTTAACACATCTGTTATTATTGCGCTATTCAGCTCAACACTTGTTGAATTACAATTTAAAAGTACTGTCACTTACTTTCGTTTATGTCATGATTACTAAGTGATGTTCAGGGACATCCTCATACGCAATTCCGTTTCGGAGAGAAAACGAGACTCAGACATAACACACTACTTGCAATACTTCTATTTGGTTCTTTATAGAATCTAGGGTACATTGTACTAAAAGATTTTACAACTGGGTTTCTCTAAATTAAATAAACTTACTTAACTACCCATCGGAGGAGAAGCATAGGCTGCCCACCAGCATTCTCCATCGAACTCTGTCACGGTCAATCCTTTCCAGTTCTTTCCAGTCACTGTTCATCCTTCTGATGTATGCTTCCGATTCCCCACTAATTGTGTTTCTTAGTTTTTCTGTTTCTCTATGGCCTTCAGGAATGCAAGTTAGCGTTTGCCTGATGATTCAGTTTGATGATTTCCACAATGTATGTCCTATCCACCTCCAGCGTCTTCTCCTAATTTCCTCTTCGACTGGAAGCTGGTTTGTTCTCTCCCATAATAGGTTGTTGCTGATGGTATCTGGCTAACAGGCACTGGGTATCTTGCATAGACAACTCTTTATCAATACCTGTAAATTTTTGGAGATGGTTGTAATGGTTAACCACATTTCAGCTGCGTACAGTGGAACTGCCTTGATGTTCGTGTTGATGATTCTTACTTTGATATTGGTTGACAGTTGTTTTGAGTTGTAGATGTTCTTCAATTGTAGGAATGCAGCCCTTACTTCTCCGATTTTTACCTTTACGTCTGCATCGGATCCTCCTTGTTCATCGATGATGCTTCCCAGATACTTGAGACATTCCACCTGTTCGAGAGTTTCTCCATCAAGTGTGATGTTTGCGTTGTATTTGAGGATCCTGCATTTTTTCTTATGTATGTCGAGGTCTACTGCTGTAGTGGTTTCTACTGCACAGTTTGTCTTGACCTGCATTCGTTCGTGTGTATGGGATAGTACTGGCAGGTCATGTGCGAAGTCCGATTTGCCTATTTGCATTCAAACTGTGTTTTGTGCATCCCTTCAGACCTGGAGGTTTTGATCACCACAAGAAAAAGAAAGGGTGAGAGTGAGCGGTATTGTCTGACACCAGTCTTTACTTGGAATGCATTTGTGAGTAGTCGTCTATACACGACTTTTCAATTTAGTCCATCGTATTGTTTTGGCGTATTATGTTGACGATTTTTTCATTTACACCATAGTGTCGAGAAAGGATTCATGAAATTCTCCTATCCACACAGTCTAACACTTTCTCTCATAGTCAAGGAAGTTCGTACATATTGACAAGTTCCATTTAATTGATTGTTTAACAATGATCTGTATTGTCGCAACCATTCCTTACAGATTACAGCTTGAATTCATTTAGTATTGTTTGTTTGAATCTTCCCATTGATGTGTTAGGACTGCAACTGGTCAGTCTCTAATTAGCATACGTGCATACTGTGCGTATTGCCTCGATATAGCCGAAATTTACAAGCATGGTAAGCAAAGATGGATAGTGGGTAGCAGTGGAATCCAGGACGCACGTTTCGTCCTATTTGGGGCTCGTCAGCTGGATATACCTGCATCTCAGATTTGATGCTCACTCTGGGACTCGAACCCAGTACCCTCGCTTGAAACGCCATCACGTTATCCACTTGGCCACTGAGTCCTGATGGCCACTTGCTTGCGCAATGGGGTACACCCAGCTGACGAGTTCCAAATAGGACGAAACGCGCGTCCTGGATTCCACTGCTAGCCACTATCCATCTCTGTTTACCATGCTTCTCAATTAAGGCTATATTGAGGCAATACGCACAGTATACACATATGCCAATTAGAGACTGACCAGTTGCAGTCCTAACACATCGATGGGAAGATTCAAACAAACAACACTAAATGAATTTAAACTTCACCCCATCGCACATGCATTGTAAGCAAAGATGGATAGTGGCTAGCAGTAGAATCCAAGACGCGCGTTTCGTCCTATACACTCACTTCACCCCATTGTACAAGCAAGTGGCTATCAGGACTCAGTGGCCAAGTGGATAACGTGATGGCGTTTGAAGCGAGGGTACTGGGTTCGAGTCCCAGAGTGAACATCAACTCTGAGATGCAGGTACATCCAGCTGACGAGTCCCAAATAGGACGAAACGTGCGTCCTGGATTCCACTGCTAGCCACCATCCATCTCGGATTACAGCTTGTTTATCTCAAAGTTGGTCGTCTACTGAATCTTGAATCGGCTCAATATCACTGTTGAAATTTTTTCTTGGTCCCAATATTAATTTTATACCTCTTTAGTTCTTACACTTGCTAAGATATTTTTTGGTATTTTGACGAGGTGTCGTTCTTTCCAGTCTGGCTGTGGCACTTGTTCTTCATCCCAAATCTTCTTGAATAGAATGTGGATCATCTTTGCAGTTACATCTACGTTTGACCGTAGTACTTCATCTGGTATGTTGTCAGGTCCTAGTGCTTTCCCACTATTGGAACCACCAGTTACCCTGATATGGCTACAGGAGAAGTTAAAATAAATTAAATTTATTAATTTTTGCTTTTCTACTTTAGAATCTCCGTCACCACCAAACGTCCTCATCACTAGGTGAAGTTGAATCTTCGTCTACACCTGGAAATCAAACTGAGGAATCGGTCGTTCAATGTTTAAAATTACAGTATCAATTGAATGCCTATGAATCGAAATTCGAATCTATAAACACTGAGAAAGATCAACTTGCTGTAGAGGTTTGTGCCGTTTTCAGTTTTAGTAATCAATTATTAAGTGAATCACTTATTTGTTCATCATAAAACTTATTTACTTTACTACTGATTACAGTATAATGTTTACTAAATTGATTATTCGTTGTTCATGTTATTAGTTTTGTTTGCAGTGTTATTTTAGCGAATTAACCATCTCTCAATTAGAAATAGAAAGATGACATTCTTATTTTGTTATTCGTTTACATCCTGAGGTCACCGTTTACTATTTATCCAATAAAATCTCGCTAAAATTTAGTTTAAAATGAATTGATTAGTGAATGAATAATGACTGTGTTTATGCTTAATATATGGGCAAAGGAGTATTCATAAATATGTATAAATGTTATTTCGGTACATAAAATGACAACTGTGGTTTTAAAACAAATGTTCCATTAGTTGACCACTGATTCACTTTGATTATTTCGATCATTTGTGTAATCTAATGACGTAAGCTGTGTCGTTTTATCTCTTTAATGAAACCATCGTGACAGTCAAAAACTCATTGACTTGAGAAGATTAATCTGTCTTCATCAATGTGAGACACTGGAATCAGAGATAAAATGAATGTTTTCCGATCATTTTTTTAATTAGTAGTTAAAATAATGCCCCAAAAAGACATGACTAGTCATAATCCAATTTGAAATAGATTGTACAATTTCATTGTAGATATTTTTGATTGAAATTCGATCAGTCTTAGTTGGCATATGTGTAACCCGTGTGAAATGCCTTGATACAGTTATTATGACAAAAATTAGTATTGAATAAATGAAGTATTACTAACAGTGGGATCTAGCACACCTGTTTCGCTCTATGTATAACTCGTCAGTCGGATGTATTGATGACATTTCAATCGAAAATATTAACATTGGGTTATTCCAATCTGAAGATTAGAACGTTCAACAATCTAGCAAAAACCAGAAGAAGAAGGTTCTATACAAATATAACAGAAAGATCATTAATCGAACTGTTGAATTAAAAGTCAGAGAAAGTTGAATTTTCTGTCTACAACTTGAGAGAAAATAGCTGAGATTGTCCATAGCCAGTAAGTCTATTCATTACAGCCAAGTGTATCAGAATACCCAATACGTAACTTTGCGTATATTCAGCGTTATTTCGTAATCCTATCAAATGTTTTATATGATTATTTATAACTCAATCAAGTTAGTAGCCAATGAACTCAATCTATTTTAGAAGCTTGATCAAACTTTTTTAGTGTAAACTTAAGGGTACAGAATACACAACTACGTTACTTATATCTATAAATTATGAAACTCTAATCACGTAAATGAGAAGTAAATGGATAGAGGTTAAAAACTTTAGATGGAAATGTGTATATCTAGATGTTTTATTGAAGTTCTTTTTGTCTATAGAAGCTGACACTTTCTTTCTTTATGATTATCCAGAGAATAGGTTTCATACACGTTTGTGATTATTAGTAATATGTATCTGAAGTCACGATACAATACATACTACAAAAACAACTCGGTATCCAAATCAGAGCCTCATCCTACCGCTTTGTCTGTCTTTACTTGTTTTTTGTTAGTGAAGTCAACCAACCTTAATATAAATAGAATTTTTATCAATTATTGACCTCCTGAATGGTTCGTTTAAATATAACATAGTTAATTACAGCACTGGGAAATTCTTAAAGACATTTGTTTGAGTCAACTAACTATTGATTCAAATCTTGTATTTCTTAACAATAATAATATGAACTAAATAACCAATTGTAGATTGTTTTTAACATGTTAGTGTTATGGTACATATAGTCTGAACTGACATGTTTTTTCTTTCATTGATTCAGCTAGATATCATGAAGTACTTGAATGTATTAAATTACCATCTAATATCTATCTCTAGCTCTTGTATTATTTATCTATTATTGTTTTTTATCTGTATTTTTCGCTAGTGTACACATGCCAATTTATGCATTGAAATGATCAGTTTCTAAATTGTAATTTATTCATATTGCGCTTACACCCATATATCTCCATATATCTGTTACCTATAATGCTTATTCAATATTTTTTTCCATATTTACAAACAATTCTTTGTGTCTCTCATTGTAGCCTTATAAATTCATTGAAGTCGTTTCATGTTTTTGTTAAACTACTAGTTTCTAATAATTTATGTCATTGGGTTATTCTTGTCAATATACGTTTGTTTGAAAACTGTAATTTCTTTTAAAGTTAGATTAATGTATAGTTTTAAGGTAATTAGTGTGGCGTTTCACCTGTAAATACACGCTCTCTAGGTAATATCAAATATCCGAATTTCAATCTCACTCAGCTTTCCATGTGAATTGATTTTTTAATATATTTTAAAATCAGTCAAGGAACTGGCCATGTTGTGATCATCTTCAAGTTTTTTTTTCTGAGACCAGTTCTTCTTAGATTCAACTAAATTTGAGCAGAATACGAGACACTGTTTAACAAACTGACTTCAAATACACATGGATTTAGCCAGATAATATATTCATCTTTGAAAAGAAATAGTCATGAATACAGATGATAATCTAGTGATTCAGTGCATGTGTGAAGTAGAATTTTTAATGCTCCAGTGTATACTGTTTATTTATGGCATAAGTAGCGCGATAACACTTTTTAATTTTTTTTCACCGATTTGACTTCTAATCAAGGAAACAAACTAGACAAAGGAATTTTAACTCTTACCTCTTTACTACACAATAGTTCGCCTTTAAAAATTGACATGGTCTGAATCTCATTCGCTTTTTGTAAAGATTGTGTTGTGAAAATCAAATTATGAATTATATATTCCCATGACTATTCTTTATAACGGCTAGTTTTTAAAATGATTCTGTATTGCTTATATTTATTTATTTTATTTATTTAAACGCATAAATATTAGTACAAAGTGACACCAGATACATATCCGGCACACAAGTCTCATTTGATTTGTGTGGGGGCTGTGATACTGCCTGGGTTCCCAAACCGAAGCAGGTGGTTTTCGTAGGCGGACCACACCCGTAGCTTTTATCCTAAAGGCCTAATCCACAGGGCATTGAAGCATCATAAGGAGATGCAGTCCCATGGTAGCCGGTGACCAACAATTGATTCATACGCCATTTGTTCCCTCAGGATACTGAAGTCAGTCCATGTGCACCATTAGTTTGGAATTAGGGTTTTTCAACTCCTCTACGTGGACTAGCCTTGTCCACCAGTCTGGTTAAAGCGCCGGACATTCACTTTTCGTCCTCTTAATTTCGTAAACAACACCCCTGACACGAGAAGGCAATGAGTAAGACTTCCCTGGCAGAGACTATATATATATATATATATATATATATTCTTGATTATGGATGATATTTCAATATAGTGGATTATCAGGTAAAATTTGATGGATTTCAAATATTTTTAACTACATTTGAGTGTGGAATATATTTTTAAGACATCTCTGTACAATCAAACCAAGACATAACATTCATCAGTTTATTGTTATTTTAGTTTGAGACATTCTGGAAACTAGTAGATCTGTCTGAAAAGCATGGAATGATTTAAAGGAACAGCTGGCAAACTAATTTGTTATATTTTATGTTAATCAACATGACTCATATAATTTAGTAATTTCATTTTATGTTATTAAGATCTGGCTTGCCATCAACTTTTGCTTCTATTTTCTTATACTATTCCTTGCATTTAGTTTAGTGTTTTCGAATTTTCGTCACATAATTCTATGAATACTATTGTTTTAATATACATCATACAAATGTCCATAAACTATTCATTACACAACAGTTGTGTTTTTTGTGTTCCTTAAATTTGGCTGTATGAAAATTATTTATTTTACGTGTATGCCATAACAAAATGTTACTTGTCGAAACTTGGTTGGCAGTTATTGTTCAATATCAAGGATATGATTGATGTTATTGAAATCATTTATAACTTTTCTCATAATTGAGGTTGTTTGTGGTGATTTTTAGTAATTTATATATAGTTAAAATCATGAGTCAATTGAAGCTAGACCACCATTGAAAACCTGGAAGTACTGAACGGCCGTTTCATATACTCACTAGTGACTGGCTCCATGAAGTATTTTCTGGAGTTCTAGTGAGAAGTAGTAACCAATGGAGTTCAACCAGGTCTGTTGGAAGATACCAACTCACTGAAGGCATTGGTGAAATGGTTGCTCAACTTCGTCGATTGGTTGAAGTTGGACGTTAACACCGTTGAATACCTACTCAGTGGTCTACCGGTTAAGTGCTCTGGCGCGAGACTGGTAGCTCCTGGGTTCGAATCTCGCGAGTTGGGATCGTGAATGTGCACTGCTGAGGAGTCACACAATAGGACGAAACGGTCGTCTAGTGCTTCAAGGTTTTCTCGTAATTTTTATCACTTTTTTCTTCCCTATCATTCTGAATAATACATAAATGATGATACACAATAAAAGTCATATGATTCTAATTTCTAGTATGTATATGGTTACTATTGAAAATATATAAAATATTTATGATTGTCATATTTGTTTAATTAATTAAACCTTTACTGTTGAAAAAAGGAACTCTTACAAACATAATTAACTTAAAAAATAATCTAATTGAATGATAACCTACTGAATTAGGTAATATGATGATAATGATGCTATACAAAAAGAGATACATGGTTTTCTCATTACAAGACCTCATTTCAAAAGTAAAACACTCCGTAGTTTGACCGAAAACTTGACATCTTGTCAATGAAATCTGTAAAATGTAGATCGATTGATTATTATTTTTATCATTTTTATTTCTATATGTTCAATTCTCTATCTTTGTAATTTTATTTGTGTTTTTCAATCGAACATTATGTAACAGAATTTAAAATTGGTAAGATTTATTTTGTCCTTCCTCTGAAGTGTATATCTCTCTTTTTTCTTTAATATATTTACTTGAAATTTGTTTATTTATTTTAATCATTAAATTAAAGTGATGAATGTAACAACTAATGCGAATTCACGTCAAAAGTGTATTATTTGTTCAAATCTTTTGTCAACTTCACTCATATTTATCTTGTAAATAATGTCTTGATTTATTTCCAAGAGATTTTTACCAGAAAGTAAAAGATGACCGATAGAAAAATGCTAAAGCGATCGAACCAATATGAGATATCAACGTATAAAGTCATTAAATATAGGTTAATGAAGACCTCTTGGTTGTGATTAGCGTGGTACTCTTGGTCAGTATTTGGATATCGTAATTCAAAGGTCTTGAAATTGATTGCAATACCTGACTTGCTTTCGTTCTCGTTGTTTTAGATACTGAGCTTCAATATTACTTCATACCTTTTCGTTTATTATTTAATTCCTTCTTTTTATATCATACTTTCCCTGATTAGTACTTTTTGACAACCATAGGAGTTGGTATTACTTTGATTCCTTCACTAATAAAATGTTTAATTTCATCACACTGTGATGACTTGATGTAATGACTTTAGGGGGAGAACTTTTTTACCAAGCCGTGATTTGTTTATACTAATTAACGAAAAACTAAGCAGTATAACATTTGTGGTTATTTATTTAATAGTTAATGCATTTAGAATAGCATTTTGCTCGTTACAGAAACAAAGGTCTATTATTTCATCATTTCATCGATAAAACCTAACTTAAATAATCTGATTAATTGTTTGTTAATTTCAGCTTTCTCTAATCAAACAAAAATCTTCTTTAAATGAAGAGAAGCTTTCAGAAAGTCAACAATTAATAAAGAATTATGAAATGAAAATTTCTAAATTGACTAGTGAATTGCAAATTTTAAATGATCAAATTAACCCAGAGAAGTCATTTGCAGTCAAGGGAAATTATACATGCAACGGAAATACTTTCGCACATATTATTGATGATAAAGATTGTAAGAATGGTGAATTAACAATGCATGTAGATAAATTTAAACAAATGCTTTTAAAAAATACCATTGAGCAGATATTATGTGTATTACAAAGTAATCGAACTATTGGACAATCACCTGAATTTATAGAAGTATATATACATTGTTCTCCAAGTGAGTTCCATCCTATCTTTTATTTCTCTTCTATATCTGTACAATCCCATGAATCCAATCATTAGTTTTATTCTTTAACATTTTTGCAGAAATTATATGTGAGAAAATCTTAGTTTTTATAATGCTGATAGTTTAAATTCGTTGTTGCATATTAAGAAAACTATCTATGCATGATTCCATTCATTGTATAGAGAGCGCATGGTTTACTCAGAGAATTATCCACTATGTTCTCCATCCAGAATTAATATTTATAAAGAAGGGCAATAATGGCAGATGAGGCATTAATATATTGTTTAATAAATAAACGAGGTTTATATTAACTTAGTTTTTCGAGGCACTAAAAATCGTGTGAACCACTGTTTTGAAAGTAAGGTTTTCCTTTCCTTAACGTTGAGACTTCTCACTTGCCTATTCGGCTTAATAATTGTACTTACCATCTCAAGATTTTTGGAAACACTATCTCAACATGATTATGCGAAGACATTTTCCTCCTTCTACTGTATAAGACTTTGGGGGCTAGATTTCACTGAGCCTTCAAATAGCATACCTCTGAAGATATTAAAGTACACCTCTATGTTCCCATCAATTTTGAACAGTTAATTGCATGGTATCTATTTTCTTCTTAATATTGATGCCTCTGTTTTCATTTTATCACTAATGTTTATAATTACTTCGATTTCTTGTTATGTTAACAAATTACTAGTTCATCAGTAAATTCAAGTGTATTTCCAAGGCTGACATATTTGCTTTCAATTTCAATAATTTTTGAATATTTATTCCTTCTAAAAAGAATATAAATTATTATTATCAAAATATCTTCACAATAGGATAGTAAATTTATTCAACGAGTTAAAATCAAAGTATTATTATTTAATTTTAATAATAAATAAATATTTTATAGAGTTGAGATCATGAGTCAATTGAAGCTAGACCACTATGGAAAATCTGGAGGCACTGGACGGCCGTTTCGTCCAGTGCTCCCAGGTTTTCCATGGTGGTCTAGCTTCAATTGACTCATGATCCCAACTCTATAAAATTACTAAAATCTCCACAAAACCCCTTCTGATAATAAATATTTATTCAATTTACAGTCGAGTTTTATTAATGTCAGTCAGCCAGTCAGCTACAACGTAGGACTAGGCACATATATGCATCAGTCCAAGTTTCCATACCTCATCAGCACAACAAGATGAACACCGGATTCATAGAAGTAGTTAACTTAGTTGTGGTAGTATATAAAAGATAGGTTGTATATAAGAATATAGTATAGAAAGGAAGCTATATACATACTTCTAATTATTATTATTATCATTGCTATACACTACTTAACATATTTTTTGTTGTTTTGTTGTATATTTTCATTCTAGCATACCTTTTAAATCATTTATCACAAGTTATTAATGATTTTAATTCATTTGAATCTGCATTAACTGACTACTTGTCCGATAGTGAAAAAGGTAATCTTTATAAAACCATTTGTTTTTATTTTTAAAATTGAATATTGAAATTTGTTTGGTGGATCACAATCGAAAAATATTTAGTGTTAATTTTAAAGATGCACACAATTATAACAACCTGTAGTTTCAAATTAAATTAAATTTTTCCCCTTACGTTAAACCTATCGTTAGATAAATCTTTGTGTTTTATTTCATTTGTCACTTAGTGTTTTTTCACTTCACGAATATTCTAGAATAAAGATAGAAGAAATATCAGAATGTTAAAAAGAAAATGGGAAATTACTTGGTAGATAAGTGGTCTGGTAACTCAGTGTTTTTGATGTTCATCCCCTAACCACTAACTCTCGGGAACTAATCCCTCTCCAGCCACTCCGGTTTGCGTACTTTTGTAGTATCAAAGGTTTTCATACTTATTGCGGCTTGAAGCTGGGCACAGAAATATGTTCTTCGTAAATAAGTTGAATCAATTAATTCATCTTTGTCTCAGTCGTAGATATAACATTGGTTTATTTATTAAGTTCTAAACAAATTTAAAAAGTTGGTTACATGAAGTTTATTAATAAAAGAATTTGGATGTCATAAATGTAAGTAACTAATGAAATGCTTCTCAAAAGATTCACCTATTTTTATATTTACATATTTTGGATGTCCGTTTTACTCAGGCGTAATTAATACGATCTCATAATTTCACCATGTACTATGAACCATTTGACATTTATCATTCATTTAAAGTATATGCAACGAAATCTTTTAAAGTTTATGATTTCGGCAATTTAATTTTATCTAACATCTCTTGAAACAAATTAGATATTAGTTAGCGATCTAGTTTAAAAAACCCCTGAATCTACCATTCTCTGTAGTTATAGCCTCACATTTACTTCACATCAAATGAAATACTCTGTGATACTAAATTACTCAAACTGCTGGTGGTCACATTACAACTTGACCAATGAAATTTAACCAAACACTAATAAATTACTAATATAACAGTTACTATTCAATGACATACTTTACTGATAAGTAACGATTAGCATGGAACATATGTTTGGAGTTTCCTGACAACTGTGTGCCATGAAACAACACACGCAGCTATATCGAGTCATTTCATTTAGTTGTTTCAGTGGGAGTTGATCAATATTGCTTGACTATCATTATATTCTAAACAAATGTGTTCAGTCGACCATAAGTGTAAAACATATCATATATTCGGGGATGCGACATATTTCTCCTTAGTTCATGATTATTTTGAGTTTGTATAACAGTGTACTAGACGTGTAATAAAAATCTTTAAGTTACTATCCATTATATATAAATTTGTACATTTTGACAGAATTGATTCAAACTTTATATTACATTGGTCAGCTAAACTCTCAGTTATCCTTGTTATCTCTCTTCTCTAAATCGATACGCCAATCAAATGTTGCAAGTGATTCTTCATACAGTAAGTGATTGCATTCATATTATTTCTGGTATTTTATCTCATCCAATTTTGTTTGTGTCTAACTTAGTATGCTTTTAGATTCTGAAAAGTGTGGATTAATCAAATTTTCCTTGCAAACGCATAAATATACACCTTAATTGGATTTCTCCACGTCTTTGAAAATTAAGTGCATTTTAGTCGTTCAAAAAAGTCATCTGAGTTTCCTTTTTTCTGTTTTTCAAGAAATTTACGTGATTTATTATGCATGTTAGAATAGTAGTAATGACTGTCTATCTTCTTGGATACCTGAGCTACCTGTTCCTGCCATCTACATATTTCAGCAAGTTATCTGTTTTTGGTTGTTTTAACACATCATTCTGTCCATTAATCGCATAGCCTATTCAGGTGCGTTTATGAAAAGCTTACAACCTTTGGCTGTAAAATTTACAAAAAAGTACAATCAGAGACATTGTGGTGGCTGGCAATATGAATTGAAAAGAATGGACATTATTCAGATGTTGATTTTTGAACTACCATCATCTAACTGGCGATCACTAATTGACAAGGTGGAATGTCTTCAATTCCTGTTAAGCCTAAATATGTATCGTAATGGTAGTGTAATTACGATTCAAGAATCCTGGTTAAACGATTTACAAGACGACTGCTCAGTATCACTACATGATTTTCATATTCGTAATCAGAATCGATGAAAAAATAAGAAAAGGAAACTTGTTGAAATACCTTGTGTTGAGAATTCAATGTTGTACCAAAAATATAATATTGAATAAAGCCATTAATGACATCAATAATAATAATAATAATAAATGGCTCTATAGGTTATACTACATAACGAAAACTGAATTACTTTGATAGTACTGTTTATACTGCTATTTCATAACAAAATATTTAATAGTGAAATATGAATAATATATAAGGCCCCCAAATGCCCTGGTACGGCCGAGAGTGGGGAGAGTCCGCTCTCCCTCTCGAAATGCTCTCACATGGCCACGCGAATATATGGCCTCTGCCAGGGAAGTCCAACTCACTGCCTTCTCGTGACGTGCCGGGGTGTTGCTTACGAAATTGAGAGGACGAAAAGTGAATGTCTGGCGCTTTAACCGGGTTGGTGGACACTGCGAGTCCACGTAGGGGAGTTGGAAAACCCTGATTCCAAACCAATGGTTCACATGGACTGACTTCAGTATCCTGAGGGAACAAATGGCGTATGAACCAATTGTTGGTCACCGGCTACCATGGGCCTGCATCTCCTCACGATGCTCCACTGCCTTGTGGATCAGATCTTTAGGTCAAAGGCTCCGCGTGTGGCCCCTTAAGAAAACAACCTGCTTTAGTTTGGGCACCCGGGAAGTATCACAGTCGTCACACAAATCGAATGAGATTTGTGCAGCGCATATATGTCTGGTGCTTCCTTGTACCAATATTTATGTGTTTAAATAATAATAATAAATTTAGAAGCTTGTATTGATATTCTTTTGACAACAAAAATAAATAGTTTCATTGAACCATGAAGTGAAAATGATATAATTTTAATATTCTGTAAACTTTTAAAAAAGATTTTCACAATCCTATTCAAGAACCAATAATTATCACCAGAATGATTCGTTCAAAAAAGTCTTTGAAATAATTTAATTCATAATGGTTTGGTTTATTTCTTTGTTAATACTTTGACTGAATTTTGATTAGTTTCATTTGGCAAATATACATTCTGTGTATTTCGCTTAATATGGCTTTTATAACACAAGTTTATATGAAATAGATAGCATATGATTAGCAATGGAATCCAATTCAATACACGTGTTTCTTCTCATGAAATAGACTTATAAAGCTAACTTTATACTAGTAGAGTTATAACCATAACTTATGGCAATTCAGTTAATAATGAACTGTTGAACTATTGGTTTATCGAACTTATTTTACTAGTGTATGGTAGCACCTTGACTGTAAGACTATTCTATTTTAAACCATGGAGTATTTGATTCAAATTCCATTCTATCTACTTTTCTTAATTCATTTGAGTAGTACTATCGGTAGATTTCAGATATAATGACATTATTATCCAAAATCGACTTCCTAAATCTGTATTTGGTGCATGATTTACATTATTTTATTGATTTATTTCACTGTATTGGTAAAGTTACCTAAATAACTAAGCTTCTTTTTCTGATCAAAATAATATACTACTTTAGTATGATGATTGCTTAGTTGTAAATTCTTAGTATGAGGCTTTGGGGCTTGTTGAATTTCATTGAAACCATGAACTGATCTAAGATCGACCACCATTAAAAATTTGCAATCGAGCGCGAACTCTTAACATGTAGACCACTAAGCTGGATTCTAATGGTGTTATAAAATTGTTTTCATTTATTCTATCATCTGATTTTGTTGTTTTGTTTTTCCTTGTGGAACAAACTTGTTTAATGGTGTAATTTTTATTCTTACTATTCAATTTAATTATGTGATTTATTTATTTATTTCATCTTTTTAATGTGTTCGGTGATTGGTTGCAAATTTTGTTTTGTTGATTATCATAGGAAAATAATTCGGCACAGTTTACTGGTCGAAATTACAAGTTATTGAAAAAGTAATCTGTTGTTTTGACTTTTTGGCCTTTCAAAACCTTTATTTCTTAAATATTCCCACACTCACTGTGGCCTAGTATATATGGCTTCATTTTCTTTTTTGTCGTAACTTCTAATATTCCTTTTTTGTTCAAGTCACATTTGCGTTCTTTACCGAACTTGTACACAAGCATCCTATTTACATCTAATAACGACTTAATGGGTAAATCTTGACAGTTTACATAGACTGCGAGTAGAATACAGTGGATGACAATGTGTTAGAGAAACTTAACTTCATTTTCGATGTAGTTAGCAATCTCCGGTTAAGTTTGTTTTGTTCCCACTAAAGTACTATATTCATTTGTGTTATAGCACTCTAGCGAACGAACACCCAAGTGGGGAAAACCAACTTATTGTTTAGTGCAAGGTTACTGAGTTCTTTTGTAAAATGTGAAAACCATACATTAAACACTTCATTTGAAAATCCTCCATCAGTTTCTCATGATTTTTCCAATTCTCAATTCCTTTATGTTTCCCTTTCTTTCTCAGTTCAATCTTCTTAACTTTCTGCTGCCAGGCATTCCATTTCTGATTTATGTTACTTAACACTTATGTCTGTTGACATAAGTAGCATACACCACAGTACTACGTATAATATATAGTTTTATTTTACCCTAGCTAAAATGACTTGTTTTGACCATAGATATCTTTAAAGTATATTGACCGCTCATACTCTGGTCACCCAGTGAGCTATGTTGAGGCTAGGCGTAAGGTACTCAGCAATTATTTCAAATAGGCTGGTTAAGTTTTTATCTCCATCATCTGAAATGGTTGGGACATATATTATATATTCCCCACCACTGTCATGATTAGCGCGCAATGTTGTCTAGATTAGAAATGATTTTAAATAATTACTTAGCTCAGTTGTGGCTCTAAAAATATGGTTTTTCATTATTTGGTTAGCGTAAGATCCATCTTAGAGCTATCATTTGTTACTCTTCGATAACTGGCTATTTTATTTTATTACTTAACAATGATAAATAGTGGTGTATTTCAAACAAAAGTATTGAATTTAGACGTCCTAAGTAGTTTTTCGGTAACATCTTTGATTCCAACACTAGCTGACACGTATTCGCTACTGTAGAGGAACATCAGCATTACACAATCCTGATAAATTCATTGACAGCTTACTAGTAAATTATTCACATTTCTTTTTTTTCATATTAACATTTTGAATGAGATTGAACTTCTCTAACGTGTCGGAATATATATAGAAAATTGTCCATTTATTTTTGCTTCATAAAATTCCCATATAGATATTTAGAGACGATTGAATGGTACTGACAATAATTACGCAAAAATGTATTAATCGACGCTATATATCAGTTGTCACCATACAATTTGTTTCTTTGGTAATCTAGCTTTGAGTGTTTTGTTTAAGTGAAAATTTGTCATAATTTATACTTCTTTCCAAACCTTTTTTACATTATAGACTGTCTACATAATGTAGACTTAATTCAAAGTGAATTTATGGAATTGCTTAATGTTCTGCTACAAATCAACAGTATTGATCAGGATCATATAAATTGTAATCACGATAAAGACGATTATTTCAATCGAATCAAAGAGTATTTATCTATGATTCGTAATCATTTAAAATCTATGTCTATTGAAGTAACTAATTTACCAAACTATCTGTCAAATGATAACAGTAATGATGACATTATGTCGTCGACTGATGTGATACAAAAAGAAATGGAAACCACTTTTGAGGCTATCACGGTTGCAGAACAGAAGTTCCAGGTAATCATTTCTTTCTCATAAACTTATGAACTGCGGCTAGCAGTAAGATCGTTTGTGACATCTTGTTCGGGATTCTGCAACTAAGTATGCTCGGATCCCAATATCGACATTCACACTTATATTCAAACCCAGTAGCTCGCTTTTAGAGACGATGCTTTATAGAAAAATATACGTTTCTTTTTTTTCGTACTAATTGGAATGCTGAATTCAATCATTATTTAGTCATGTACCTCATTTACTTCTATACTTTTAATGCTCATCAATGAGACATGTCTATAATCCCAAAGATACTCGTTGTTTATTATTTGAGACCAGAATCGGAACTGTTCATTAAAATGTGAATTTATTCTTCGATTCAATATGAATATAACTTTATGAAAGATATAATTTCACTAACTAAAATAAATAATATATTGATGTTGAATGATGTCACTTAGAGACATCCCAATCAGTTGGACATTAGTTCAGTTTATTCATCCTTGATTTCGTTTACCTTGTATATATATCATGGAATTTATTACTATTAATTATTAAAATTAGTTGAAATTTTTCAAAACTTCAATTTGATCTGTTAACAAATTCTTTTATTTTAGGGATTAATTGCGGAATCTAAAAAAAATTCAATCAACAATGAAAATCTTCAAGTGAATTCACTCATATTAGACTGTTGTTCTGAATTGTTACTTTGTGTTGGTGATCTAGTGAAACAATCTAAGTTGATTCAACAGGAGTTTGAGGTATGTATATCTGTGTATACTTTAATGAATTGATTACTTTTACACTTTTGTTTTATATATGAGGATTGTTATAGTTTGATGTGAATCGTTTAACCTACAGATTCTTTCTTCTTAAATATTTGTTTGTTAGTTGTTGATTGATATTGTGGTGTTGTCTACTTATATCTATATAAGTAGTATATGGTGTGGGTCAGACGTAGAATGTATTTTGGCAGAAGACCGATGAGGAAAGAACTGAAATGAAGCGCAATCGTTTGGAAAATGCATGAGCAATGGAATAAGAGAAGAAACAGTGAAGATTGAAACAATTGGTTGTTAATTTGCAAATTGACTGTTCATTGTTTGGTAATCAGAATTTACTGAGATAGTCTGTAATTGTTGAAAGCGTGAGTCAATTGAAGCTAGACCACCATGGAAAACCTGGGAACACTGGACGGCCGTTTCGTCCTGTTATGGGACTCCTCAGCAGTGCGCACCCACGAACCTGCTCTCACGAGCGAGATTTGAACCCAGGACCTATCAGTCTCGAGCCGAAGCCCTTAACCGATAGACCACTGAGCTGGCATCCAACGGTGTTAATGTCTAACTTCAACTGATCCACGAAGTTGAGCAACCATTCACCAATTGTCTTCAGTGAGTTCCTATCTCACAACAGACGTGGTTTTGAACTCCACTGGTCACTGCTTCTCACTAGAGCTCCTAGATATACTTCAATTGACTCACGCTTTCAACTATGAAAAAATACTAAATCTTCACGAAACCCCTTCTGATAATTAATATAATCATATGCTCACTAGTGACTTCGAGAAGTATATCTAGGAGCTCTAGTGAGAAGCAGTGACCAGTGGAGTTCAAAACCACGTCTGTTGTGAGATAGGAACTCACTGAAGACAATTGGTGAATGGTTGCTCAACTTCGTGGATCAGTTGAAGTTAGACATTAACACCGTTGGATGCCAGCTCAGTGGTCTATCGGTTAAGGGCTTCGGCTCGAGACTGGTAGGTCCTGGGTTCAAATCTCGCTCGCGAGAGCAGGTTCGTGGATGCGCACTGCTGAGGAGTCCCATAATAGGACGAAACGGCCGTCCAGTGTTTCCAGGTTTTCCATGGTGGTCTAGCTTCAATTGACTCACGCTCTCAACAATGATAAATACTAAATCTCCACAAAACCCCTTCTATAGTTTGTAATGTTTGCTTAAATACATTCGATTGTCCCCAAACAGTGTTCTGTTCACTACAATATGAGTTGACATATTTTAAGCTGATTTGAATACTATTCCAAACACTGAGGTGTATTGTATTATCCTTAATATTATGATCTTCACCTTATGAGTGATTCGAAAAACACTAAGGAAAATGATATATCTAAAAATTTCCCATTTAGAAGGTTTTAGAGAAGAAAAGCAAAAGAAACTAGGATATGTTGTAGTGTTAGTTCTTCTACTGTAGCCAGGTTGATTAAAAATCTTTCATTATCATTCTCTAAACATCATCTACGCCTATTGTAATATGAAGTAACTGACAGGATACAATATCACTAAAGCATCTAACAGAGCTGCAAATCCCTACCATCTTCTTGTTCTTCTACTATAAGGTCATTTTGATAGTTAAATTATAAGTCACCGGCGATCGAAGTGTTTAGAAATTAATTTTTGACGGCGTAAGTTTTAGAGCTTACTAGTAATAGTTTTCGTAGGTCTTTGGATGAATGTATGTTGGTTCGAGTTACCATTGAGACAGTATGACAGAAAATGAACTAGATATAAGAGGACAATATTAACCAAATAATAGGTAAAAACAAATGTTTTACGATAGTGATCAATATTCGTCTTATTTTACCGCGGATCAAGTAAAATTGTAAATTCAGGCTATTAAAACCCACTTCGACAGTTGAATGATTATGTGTTTCTATGAGAAATAAACGACGAGTCGTAAATCTGGTGTAACGTGATTGTGGAAAGAAGTTTATTGTTATGATAAACTAGTTATCCTGGACATCCTATACATGTCCTATACATCTGAACGAAGAATGAATGAATGGTAACTTCTAGGGGTTATTTATGGACTATTATTACATATGCTTCTGTTGGATAGCTATTAAGTAACTAGATTTTATGTATATTCATATTTCTTTTATCATAAGCTTTCATTTGACTTATTGGTTACTGTTATACGATTTACCATTCTTAATTTATTCCCAATTTATTATTTACAGTCTCCTATACTCACAGCCACTTCTAGCTTGATCCTGTATAATTATTATTTTTCATTGTATAGTATGATGTGATCTGGTCTGCTTGTATATAAACCACGTACATCTAAAACACACAATTTATACAGTGAAGGCTAATATTTGTGTTCTGGACTGGGCGGGCTGGGTTGAGCGAGAGGCTGCTATACAGAGGATCTACAAGGGCCCAGGGTTGTCACAAAGCTGCTAGTCCTGGCCGACGTGTCATTGGTTTAGCATAGGGACAAGGTTATATAAGTCGGTGTTCTGATTGACAGTTTGTCAGGTGATATTTGACAAGGTCAGAGGTCATAACATAACCGTTACGTTACGGGTTTTGTAATCTTTAATTTAACTGATCTTATTTTCTTACGTGTTTAAAAATACACTGATCAATTAATAAAAGACTAGTTTTTTTGAACCATGATCTGTTGTAATGTCGCTAAACAGTTCAATAGTTTTTTTTTCACCCATTCTCATTTAAAGCGTTATCTATTATCGTTTAACCCCGTAAAACTCATTGTTTTGTATGTTCCTGATTTTTCTGTACACAAATAAATTCTAAGTTGATCCACATGTCAATATCCAACAATCAGACGACAGAATATTTTTAGGTAGCATTGTCAATATTAATTGATCAAATAAAATTTTTTGGGATACTATATCAGTTAATGTATTCTTCAATCATGAGTAAACTTTCTCGTTCACTTTTCAGAATGTGGGTCATTTACCTTTTGTTTGGTAATGCAAATTTCCCAATAAATCCCTTAGGAATTTTCCAAATTAAACATTTTAATCGCCATTTTGAACTGTTTAAACCATGAGTGTCAAGTTAGATCTCTTTTCCTGTAGCCCTCATTCTCAGTAGCCCGTTTTCTAGAATATCTCAAGAGATTTTAAAAATTATTTGGCATTTCACATTAGATCAGCGTTAGTTTGAGCTACAGCAAACTTTCCATGTTTTTCTTGTCTCCTTAGCTATTCGGGTTTTCTGGCTAGACAGTTATTAGTAATAGTTAGGACGTCTGTTGTGGACCATTTTTATTGTATTAGGATTTCGACTTGTATCATGTTTAATACATTTTGAGATATATTTGTAAGTAATAATAGTTTATTGGATTGTTTGGTAACATTTGATAATAAATGAAGACCAGACTTTCAAAGATAAACGACGCAGTTGAATTACAGCTAAACACATGTCAATTTAATCGTCATTAACCGTGAAAATAACTTTGTAAATGTGTCATATGTTTTTCTTAGGCTATTTCTGTTATCTAAGTTAATTGAAATGTCCTGTGTAGGTATATTTCAATTAATTTAATATCTTATTATACATCTATTCTAAATTTGAAGCAAATACGCTTAACGATAAATTCAAGAGACTTGTACTTGCTCTTTTTAACGTAGTTTTTATTTTCTGCCTATTATATGAATCATTCTTTCTTAGGATTCGCCAGCGTCCGTTGAGTTTTATAAACCTTATAATCGTTGGACCAAGGGTCTTTTATCGGCTGCTAAGTTTGTCGGTGCTAGTGCTAATGTCATGGTGTAAGTTGCCCTATTATACTGTATAATTCTTTTTTTCTCACTCATGATCAGACTAAATGAAATCTCGTTATTTATGCCTCTAATTTTGCTGATTAATTGACATTTTTTAAATAGATCCGAAATCTGTATATCCAATAAGAAGTGCGTTATGATTAAGACATCTGGGATAGATCTAGATAGTCTCTAGTTTTCTGACGACAGCCTGCTGGCAACCTGATGTAGTCACTGAAATTATTGTCCAACTCCAACTCGATTAATTAAGCTTTGGAATCATAACTTTCCAATACAGCATTTGATCAATTAGTAACAACCAATATCTTATTTATTCGTTAGTGATAATCGAGTTCTACGTTATAAATCTGATTATGTCTTCAACTTACGTTCACCAAAACTAAACTAATATTGTAACTAACACTACCTTTAGTCTGTTTCAGGATTGAACTGTTAAATAATGTAGGCATCTGTTTTGAAACCATTTTACGTGATCTAATCTAGACTTTTGAAACCCGTATCAAGAAAAATTCAGGAGACATGGGTTACTGTTATATTTTCAATACTATGGGAACTTTACCACAATCAACAAAATTATTATTGAAAATTGCAACTTTTTTAAATAAAAATTGTCGTTATTATGAGAGATTATCGAATCTCTGTCTACAATTTTGTAATCAGTACTTTCGTCTACATCAGTCACACTTCAATGATGGTGATGTTAATCTCATAATACCCAACCTCCACTGAATTAAACAATTTCATCCATGGTGTAGAATGCTCACTCACACTGATTTCCAAATTTCCTGTGGTGTTTGTACTAGAACAGCAATTTCTCACTGCTCACTCTCTTAATATTTGTCATGAAACATCTTCATCGTCATACTAGTTACTTTCTATGAAAATATTTAACTGTCGTTTTTTTTGTTTAACATAATAAATGTTTTTAAACAGTGAAATAGCTGATTCCATAGTTTGTGGAAAAGACGTAAAATTAGAGCGATTAATCGTAATTTCACAAGAGATAGCTGCTAGTACAACTCAATTGGTTTATGCTACTCGTGTAAAAACTACTTCACAATCTGAAATGTTCAATAAATTACAATTAACTAGTAAAGAAGTATGCAAGTGTACTGGAAATTTAATTGCATGTGTAAAAAAGGCAATTGAAGCAAAACATATAGAAGGTATAATTTTTGAGTATTTTTTTTCAAAATCCCACTTATATATATCGTATTATAGTTTTTGACAATTATACCAAAGAAATTAGATTATGTGAGGATATTACTGAAAACATACACTAGAATTACATTGGGTGTTCAGATCATCAATGATAGATGTTTTGATTGTTTGAAAATAAGTTCACAAGCGTCTTATTTTTTATTAACAGTCCTCAGTTGTAGCTTTTTAACAGTTCAGCAAGACAGAAGCAAACGCACTGTTAAGGAATCTCTATCTACCATTGAAATGGAATTACGGTGTATATTTATAGGTGATCAGAATGATACGGATAACAGATAAGCAATGTAGGGTTGATCAGCATTATAGTCATTCATTATAGATCACCTGTGTTTGTATTTAACTTATCATAAAAGCTTGGCGCATTGTATCTGAACAATTCTTTGCTACTTATTCGACGTCCTGATATCAGATTGGCATATTTTGCATGAATTTAAGGAACGAGAAGTTAGATAAACTAATCATCTGTCTTATCAGAAACTTGGATTTCCTAGTAATACTGACTCTAAATAAATGAATGAGTGATTACTCTAGGTTTTAACCTATTAAAGTAAATTCTAGTTCCTAGTGTAATTCATAAAAATTAACTTATGATATAGTTTGAATGAATACTAAATATCCTACCTGTTGTAGTGAACGAAGACTGAGTGGGGATGACAAATTTATTGTTTGATGTGAAATCGCAGAGTGCATTCGCAAAATATGAAAACTATACATTAATTACATTATTTGCAAATCTTCTTTTGGTTGTCCCTGTTGGGATGACCCTGTATTTTTCTCGCAAGCGACATGACAAGCTCAGGGGTCATCAAGGGGCATTTCAACCAATCAGCGATTAATTAGAAGTTATGTGAAGTTATGTTACCAAAATAACGAAAATGGAAAAGTCACATGTGGATATCCTGATTGGCTGATTTATACACTGCTACTATGTTTAGCAGTACTCTAGAACTTTCAGTAAAAACTCAAGGACTCTTAAATTACTATAAAATCCCTATATTTTCTGTACATAAATGAACCTTGCAGTAAATTGTTTCTCTGATACTCGTGTCTTCTCTCTGGTCTTCAAGTCGCTGAGTAGTGCTAGCCCTGGGGTTATCCGAATAGCTTAGGATCTGAATATAGCGTTCAACCTACAAGACGTATCAGTCCCTTACATGCTTCATGATTCTTCCAATTCTTTTGTCATTACAATTACTCTCTGTTTACATTCCTATTCTCTTCAATTCAATTTTCTCAGTCTTACGCTGCCAGGCATTTTATTTCTGATTGATGTTACATACTACTTGTATCTGTCAACATAAGTAGCATACACCACATTAATACTATAATTATAGCTTATACCCTAAATTCATTTGTTTTCAGATTACTCATCGAAAATTGTTTTCATGATAGATTTGAATTTTTCCTGAAATTTAAATAATCATTCTTTTCTTGATTTTATTACCATATTCTGCCCATACTGTTTTTTTTCTCTTTTAAAAATACTATAGAACTTGATTTTAGTAGTCTTACATTAACTCAAGCAAAACGTATGGAAGTTGAACTACAAGTGAAAATTATTGAATTAGAAACATCGTTAACAAATGAACGACAACGTCTAGCTCAATTAAGAAGAGATAATTATCAGTTATCAGCTGAAGTAGAGGTAAATTGTTGATATATTGTATTATCTTAATAAGTATTCTCTATAAATATGGTTAAATTTAAAATGTACTTAAGAGTGCAAATTGAGAGTATAATTTTAAAGTACTTAGTTGTAGTAAGAGGATGGCTACATCATTTATTATTGTTTACTTATCAAATGTTGTTTATTTCATCGCAGAGCATTTGTTTAAGTCATTCCAGATCAACTACATTGAATCGAAAATTGATTCAAATGAACATCTTATTTATGAAGAAAGTATGGTACAATCTAATCACATAATTATATTTTCCTTATTATCTTTTTTCTTGTATTGATGTCTGTCTGATATGATTTTCCAGTACTATAAATATCTTAGCAAGATTATTCCCTATGTACCGGACTATTATATATCACACCGTTATCCTAACCTCATTATTATTGGATTGTCTACAAAAAGAATAATTTTACCTAGTAGGTTTTTATGTAATTAAGGTCATCTAAATTACCGATCAAACACTTTTAGACATGTTTGGATCTCAGCATTCCTAAACTTTATTTAGAAACTAACCAGTCATATGAAAAGAAATAGTTAAAGAAAGTAAAAGGTGTTAGGTCAAAATATGGTTTAGAACATCAGTGTTCTTTAATTTTTCAGTGATATTTATGATTTCAAAGATATGCAAAAACATTTGGGTTTCATTTCTCTCCATCTACAAATGATACAATTCGTCATCTGTGATACCACTTTACAGTAAATTGGGTATTTTAAAAAAAATAAAGTACTTGTTAAATTAACACTCATAAGCTTTGTAACTGGTCCTTTTTCTGTTGAATAATCTCTCAGATATCTTTTCTTTCAACATTCAAATGACGCTGTGAGATGTCACACATTCGCTTACATCTTGTTCAGGTTTTCGGTGAAACATAGACCTTGACTTTTTGATGATGATGAGTTGGGCTGCATAAAATGTTCTGTTGATAGCTAATTTTAGCGTTCGTTTCAACATGAGACTATTTGAGTCATCTAGAATGATGAAGCAATATAGACTCGTTTGTGGGTGCCAAAAATGCCATAGGTTTCATCATATTGCTACCTTTCCAACGGTTTATAAACTTCAATGAATAACCGTTATTCATTTACATGTCAGTTAAGAGCTTCGTGTCTCCTTCAATAATACCACTGGTACAAATACGTTTGATTTTACTGAATAGACCCTTTTTTAATCCACGTTTGTGATGGATTGGAAAATGACTATTGAAATTAAGATATTGCGCTGTCCATGTCGGCTTTCTACATACAGAACGTTCGGTAGAATCATCGTCTCTCCTACTAATTAGTATGTCTAGAAAGGGAAGCTGGTTATTCATCTCTTCTTCGCAAGTAAAATAAATATGCTTTGAATTTTTGTTGAGTTCACATCTTCACGCTTAACACCTATAATTGTGATGTCATCCATGTACCGCTTATATAGATACATCTTTTGAATTGAGTCTTCAACTAGTTTATCCACATATCCCAGGAATACATCAGCGAGTAATTGTTCTAAAGGACTACTCATAGTTACGCTGTCAATCTGTCCAAAATGTTCACCCTAAAAAGTGAATTTCACATTGTCGGTACATAATAATAATAATAATAATAATAATAATAATAATAATAATAATAATAAATCTTTAAAAGCTTTTACAAAAAATGGCAATGAAAGGTTACTTAATAAGATATAGTCACACAAAATACTAATAATTCTTCCTAAGAGGTACATTTTTAAACAAAGCGTTTTCATCAAAGGAGCACATTGTTTTAGTTTTAATACTAATGCCCATTAAGTAATTAATTAATCTAAATGAGCCTTTCAAAGAATATTCACAAAATTGATTTCGGATAATGTTTAATACTTTTTTTCAGTCATTTTGCGAGATTATGTGTTGATGACCGATACGTTGATAAAATTGGACGTAAGGGGGTATTGGGTTTATGAATTTTCGGTAATCCATATAAATTAAGATACACCTAACCCACAGGCTTTAATAAACTATATTTCTCTTTGCTAATAGCATTCATGTTAAGCATTTTCATTAGGTTCAGGTTGCCTTTCCTTTCTAATTTACGTAACCCCCAAAAGTCAACATCAGCCATAAATTTGCTTTCATCACTGTTAATGAATTCTATTTTATTTTTATAATCGGACTTATTATAATGACATCTGACCCTTTATCAGGTCTAACCATAATAATATCAGCATTATATGTGTAACCAGAATGTTCTAAATGTATCATGCAAATATATCACGTAATTCTGATTACCTTTATCTTCTCATTACATTATCAAAATATATCAAAGGGACTAATTGTTTTATACTTCACATATATTTATTGCTTTATTTCTAAACATAGTACACAATTATATCTTGAAAGCATACATTGTTATTTATTTAGTTGTGAAAAAGCGATAACTTTGTTTTAAACGGTTCTGAAGACTGCTATAAACTCTCAGCAATGAAATTATGAAATAATTTGCTATACCACACAAATTAGATATTTATTTGTTCAAAGATAAGTGCTTTAACATTAGCTGGAAAATTAATGTCAGTGAAGCTCCACGAGGAAGTGAATTTGACCTATTTCCATCATTAGGTATAGAACTCAACTATATATATAATATTGTTCCGCATAGCATGTAACACTTACCTCCCATAGGTTGTTGAAAATAAGCCAACTTTACTCTTGTACACGTATTCATTCAAGATGGTTATCCTATTAACATACAGATGCTTAGCTAGTATTGCTATTCCCTGACATAGGAGGGATTCGCATCATCATCCCAGCCGGAGTAATATTAATTTATATAAATTTCTCACTTCCTTTCTGTTTTGTAAATTTACTTCACTGCATCTCCATTCTTTTAATTATCTTCATATTTTCTGTAATTATTTTATTTCTCAATCCATCAATCTACTTACGTGGTAGGATTTCTCGTTTGAAGAAACTACATCCATGAATGTGAATGACTAACTTATTTTTCTGAAGATTTAACTGTTATTACGTACGAATGGGGGTAAATAAAAGCTTCTATTTAATGATACCAAGTGAATTACATAGACTGGTAAATTGTTTTTAGTGTGTTCACCTTGGTTATCACTTTTTTGAAAAGAGATCTATTAATTTTCTTGCCAGAAAGTATGGGCATTGTTTTCATCACCATCACTCGTGATAATGTGCTTATTTGATGTTTGTTGAAAGCATGGTTTATTTGTTAGTTCACTTTGGACATTACAGTAATGCATGCCTTATATTGGCTATCTGTTAGTATAATTAGTTGATGGACGATTTTTGTAGCCCAAAGATTACCCTAAATATATTTTTACACCTGGAAACCGATACGTCATTTGTAAAGCAACTTGAGACAAGCATGATGTAATCCACTTCTCAAGATCTCTGTTGACGTATATTCCTAATCCTATCTGAGATTAGAACCAGAATTTTCAGAAAACACATTAGTTTCAACTATCTTCTTACAGAAATGTTGTCGCAAAGTAATTTGTTTATGCAAACGTCTTATCAATATATGTGTATGCACTAACCCATTTGTAAATAATTAACAAATCCAGTTATAGAATATATAAAATTCTTAATCATGTTTTTATTTTCATTTTATTCTGTCCAAATAAATTCTTTACATGGATACGTGTCTGCCACTATCAGTTGATCAACGAGAGATAATGAGAAACTCCCAATGAACGTTTAACAAACAAAGCAGTCTACAAATCTCAAATCTACCTTCCAAATTAAATGTAAATAGATTTATTTCAACAGCTTATCTACCTACATTATTATCACCAAAATTTGTTATCTTACTACTATTACCACAATCGTTACTACCACTCCAGTAATCAGTTAGTATGCATACCTAAGTCTTTCATTATTCAAAATAACTCTCCCTATTATTGTGTGCATCAGCGGCACAAGGAAGAGTGACACAAAATCATATATTCAACTTTATACTTGATTTCCATCATTTTGTTCTTGCATGATCTCATATTGATTATTTAGTGATATGACATTTGTTTTCTTTCTACCTAGAGAATGGAACATTGCTTTTTATTTCGACTTCGTTCCGTTATTCTCTCTTCCTTTCCTCTAGAAAAATGAAATAAAGAAATAACTCCCTCTACCTTCTTACTTGTCTGTTCATATTTGTTGTGCTCTTAATCCCCAAGCTTATTTGACAATATTGATTTTTCACCCGTTATAAAACGTCTTGCGGGACTGCTGAACTTTCCCGGTTATTTTACAGCATGAGTTTCATTTCTTTATCAATCCATAATATCTATTTGGATCGACAATATAGTATTGTGTGATTTCTTTCTGATTGAATACTTATTATTATTATGTTAAACAATAATATAATTGCACTGACTAAATCGTTTTAACAGCGCACCTTGTTTATACCTTCACTCATAGATATGAATAATTCAAAGATTAGGATTGGTAATTAAAGAACATATTCCCTGGAATGTTTTGGTTACTAATCTCTCTAGTTATATTTGGATATTGGTTTTGAAACAAAGATGGATCTGGTTATATATTTTATAGCGCATCGGTAAATGATGTTAAGACTGATACAATAGAAACAATGAATTTAAATGGGTTTTGTTTGTAGCGCTTGCTCTATAACCTACATGTTTCTAATATTAACTGTATATTCCCCAATGGCTTTTTACAAATGTAATCATCAACCATATCAAACAATTTGACAAACAGTACTAGTCCTTTTCTAACAAATAGTACGAATTTTTCCTGACATCACTCTTCGCTTTTTCTCCCCTTTGGAAAATGGCTTTTTATTTTGCCAGATAAAAAAGCACGCCTTGCTGACATGAAATAAGGCTGGGTTCTGCTAAACAAGAACTAAAGTTATTAAATTTGAACGTCGTCTAAACATCAATTAATTAATGGAGTTTCGACCCCCTTATTTATTGAAAGCGATGACAAACTGGTGGAGGTTTTGACTATATTTCCTTGAAAAAGCTCGGAACAGATTGCCAGGCGAAACGTTGGATTTACTTCAAATTTATTCGCTAAGATTTTACAAATATATTATTCCTATTTAATATCTTACATCAACTCAGTGTTCAAATACTGTGAAACTATTCGCTCTAACTTATACAAAAGTTCTTATATGGTGGAGGGTTCTTTCGGTGAAGTTTTATTCTACTAACTAGCGACCTATCACCGTATAATACTTAAAATTGTTCAAACTATCATCAATCAGTAACCTAAAACTGTTCAATTTCGACAAAACTAATTATAACGATCTATCGTAGGAAATGAATCTCTTGTGTAGGGGAATATGGACGTCTGGAACAATGACCCACCAAAATGTTGGTCTATAAAGAATAGTGTAAGCATGTCATCACAACTTCAGTTTATCATTTGAGTAAAAAGTACTTGTCTGACCAAGTCATTAGGAAATAGGTGTGGATAAACCAGTATTGAAGGTTGTACATCTTCGGTATTTTTTTAAATGCAACAAATGTGAATGGTTCTAAAAACATCGTTCTTCACTGTCTAAGGTGAATACTACATTTTTACTACTTTCAATTCTCAGAAGGGGTTTTGTGGAGATTTTAGTAATTTTATAGAGTTGAGATCGTGAGTCAAATGAAGCTAGACCACCATGGAAGCACTGGACGGCCGTTTCGTCCTATTATGGGTCTCCTCAGCAGTGCGCATCCACGATCCCGTACTCACGAGATTCGAACCCAGGACCTACCAGTTTCGAGCTAGAGCCCTTAACCGATAGACCACTGAGCCGGCATCCAACGGTGTGAATGTTTAACTTCAACTGATCCACGAAATTGAGCAACCATTCACCAATGTCATCAGTGAGTTACTATCTCACAACAGACCTGGTTGAACTCCACCGGTTACTGCTTCTCACTACTACTTTCAATTCAACAAAATTTAACTATCGATGAGTATCGCATTGTTCGGAAACCAAGCTTAATCGTTTTCAGTAACAAGTACTGTACAAAATACCAAATATATAGGAGACAGGATCAACTTAAGTACGCTCTCAGTGAACAGCAGTTACGTATTATTATTAGGTATTTTAAGGACTCAGTAAGCGACCTGTCAAACAAAAAGACCGATTCAATGAGTCGTAGCATTAGTCATTGTTAAAGCTAGATAGGGTAGGTAAACAGGTACGCTCGCAGGATACAGCAAGTACTACAGAAGTATTTTAACAACGTACGACAGTATTATAGAACATGATATGAGACGACAGTAAACAGTAGAAAGTATGTGCTTTACGTGCATTTATCGGTGGCCAAAATAGACTTAGTTGGTTGGAGATTAAACGAAAAGGTCCATTTTTTGTAAATTCACACAAATCTAGTCTCAGACAGTAAGGCCACCATATTGATGTTTTTCTCCTGTGACTCAGTTTTCAGTCTAACAAACAATCAAAATCAGCAGCAATAAGATGAATACATGCATGATTACCATGTATCTCAGAATATTAGTTTTTTATGTGCCTCATCTGCACTTTGGACATAACAGTTGTCGTTCAAAATATGTTCATGTGAGGCGGCTGAGTACTACATTAATCTAATATTGATACAATCTAATTTAAGGAATCTGTAATAACTTGAAGAAATGGTGATATGATTATTTGTTGACTGAAGAAACAACTGCTTTTACTTGCCCTGTATAACTTTAACATGGGCTGATATTGTTTGATATATGGCACGGCTGTAAACAAGTTTATGTACCGACCGTAAATCCAACACTGATCTAGAAACTACGTCAAAATGTACCGAATTAAATGAGATTTGTATATTTTGACAATAAGCACATTTGACAAAATTGGAATAGACAGTAGTTGTTATAAACTATTCAACTAAATGCATGCGTACAGTTTGTAGTGTTAATAGATTTAACTGCATTAACCAATATAATAAATCGCTGAGTTATATATTTTTCCCGACACACACGGCTATTTGCAACTGTTATCGGCATCAAACAAAAAACTGGGTTACTATGGAATTCGTTTAACTTCACAATACTTGTCGGTTTATCCCAGTGTAAAACGAGGAAAATACCCATCATAAACGATTCCACAAAGCTTATAGGCAAAATTTACATCTGCAATTTATCAAGCCTAAAGCTCCTTTGATTCAAACTATGTAAAAAGCATAGTATCACTAAGACAGTGTGTACCGATCAATCGTCAGAAGCAAAAATCCTAAAAGAAGCTCAACTGACTCACAGCAACGAAAAATCTGATGACTTTCCCCACTGTTCGGCCTGTTAATACCTTAGTTTATTTTTATCATAATCCGCAGTTTACATTTTATTCGGGATCAGAATATATGGCAATATTTCTGTACTTCAGCTGAGTATCTAAAGGAAACAGTGAAAGACCCTCGAGTGCATCATACGCGATTCTAACTATCTTTCCATCATTTGTACATCTCTTTAGTTATTTTAATACAGTTTGTATGGTGCATCCACTGATGCCCATGCTATGTCAAGCTAATATTTTAATAAGCTGTTGATACAAATCACTTTAATGAAATCGAACAACAAGCGTCACATTTGATATAACAAGTGGATTGACGTAACAAATAATCTCAAAAACCAAGCAAAATAGTAAATACCAACTTAAAAAGTTGGAGAGCGAGGGGGAATCCACTGAAAAACACGTTTTTTTCAAATAAGTTTCAACGGTCCAAACAATATTCACGTTCTCTTAAGTGGACATAACACCCGGCACCCGAAAACTGACCATTAAGACAAATATGAAACATTGTTGCAAACGACTGTCGTAATAAAAAGTTAGTCGATAAACACATTTCCATGATGACAGAGTACGACACACATTTAACAATTATATATTCACTAGTAATAGGTACTGTAACAAATCCAATTTAATTTAATTTGGCTTTACATACACAGAGAGGTATATTAACCTCAGTGAAAGCGTAACAAATTCACATAATTTGCAGCTGAAGTTCATCAATAAAGTCAAAAAAATACTTTGCGTATTTTTTCACCATAAATAATATATACAAAGTATAAAAGTTAGAGCGGTTTAATCCTTTCGATCTCTTTTACGATGAGTAGTGTCACGATTACTGATGTCTGTTCCCGAGGTACCTTCACCTGGGCGTTTTTCGGCCTTCTTGACTTTGGATAAGAATTTACTAAGATTAAAGGGATCTTCTTCGTCTCTTTCAAATTGAACTGGACCATCCAAACGACGAGAATGATCAGTTCCAGAAAATTCACGGTCAGGAACAAAGCGTTTAGTCTTCTTAAGTGCATCAAGGTCTGTCCCATATGCATCAGTATCTTTTTGGCGTGGGCGGTATATATGATTTACCAATTCAGAATCACCTCTCCATGGCTTATCATAAATGTTATATAAATCATCCGCACCTAAAAAAAAACAGATAGTTAAAATGATTACTTACCTCCCTCAAAACCTGAGTCTAAACCCTTAGATTGATTGAAAAGTCTTTGATCGAATAGGCTTTCGCTTGTTGAGTTAAACCGTGGATTCGGAAGTCCAAGTGCGATTTGTTCGCTGATGTCTCGCTCTTTGTCTTTTTCAATCTTAGCCTTGGCTTCATTATTAGAACGAGCAAGATTTCTTTCTCTAGCACGGTCTCGTGCACGATCACGTCTTAATTCTTCTCGGTCCATTAGTTCCGGATCATTGTCTCCACCTTCAGTTGCGCCAGGACGACGAAGACCTGCTCGAGATTCGCGAGCCTGCTGAGCGATCCTCTGGAGTTGCTCCTCCTTCCGTTCCTTTTCTTTCTGAGCAACTTTTCTTTCGATTTGTGCTCTCATTTCTACGGCCTCACGAGCCTTTCTGTCAGCCGTATAAAGTGCTTCTGCTAGTTTCGCAAAGTTCTCATTAATATGAACTGTTTGGAGACCACGACCATCTGCAGCAACTCGTTTGTCTAACGGTATAGTATATCCCCTGGGGTTCTTCCAGTTTGAAATACATGGGGGGATTTTCCAGTCTTGTTGTTCTTTAACTGTAACTTTCCGTGCCGGAGAATGCATCAGAGGTGGTGGGGGAGAAGGGGGCCCGCGAGGGATCTTCTGGTTAATTCTGAAAGAATAAAAATTTAGATCAGCGAAACTTACTTGAACTTAGGGGGTTCCATTGGATCTTTCTGCATTTCCACCATTCTGACGAGACGTTGTTTAGCTCCACTATTAAAAGCAGCACCTTGTTGTGATGGTGTATAACGGATATATTCAGCAGGATTTGTTTTCTCAGCTCGGCGTACAGGTGCAGCAGCAGCAACTTTCATTTCGACCAGTGATTCTAGAGCTTTACGTGTTTTTTCTGTTGTCTAGCAAAATCAACAAAAATAGAACATCTACCTCTTCGATAGTTTCTTGACTTGGTTTGTTGAATTCTGGATCGTCATCATCAATCGGTTTAGGTAGTAAGTCTGAAAACTTTGAATAGATGATCCTGTCTTTGCTGTGCCCTTGACGAACAAGTTCATCATATCTGATTCTCCCATCTTTATCAGTCTTTATAACCAAGGCATTCGAAATATTTTTCTCCTGCCCCATCCCGAGAGGATATTGGGGAACATGTATTTCTGGGAATGCTCCTCCATCTAAAAAATCCTCCTGATTGCGTGGTACCCAGTTTTTCCGGTGTCCGTACGGTGGGATGGTTGATTTTGCAACGAGGACTCTTGAACCCACATTCAAGTTTAAAGCAGTTCCATAATCATCTGAACCCTTTTGAATTGGAGCTGGGAGTTGTCTAAAAACACATCGAATGGAGTTCCAAAAACATGATTATCCTACGGTTAAACTTTTCCAACTCCTTAGCAAACAAATCAATTTACGCGAGCATTTCTTGGAAGCATTTATGTACTTACAAACTACCTGGCATTGGTGACTGAATCCGTAAGATTTATAAACAAAGCTTTTAAACATAACGGACACAATATGATTGTAATGCAAGCACCACTGGGTAGTTATTTGCTTGTTGAAAAGTGTAAAAGCACTGTGCAACTATTAATATCAAGCATTTCATACTTACACATATAAAACTTCACTGCATATACTGAAATTACACACAATTTCTGTTCTAGATGGTAAGGGATATTCTTTGAAGAAATACTAGATTTAACCCTGTAGGCTTAGCAATTCAATAGCACACTCGTGATATTTAAACTGGAACAAGATAAAAATCCACAAAAATACATTTTATTGATGGTAACGTACACAGGCACTTGCTTTGTTTAAGTCGATTTTCGAACTGTCCGAAGAGATATTTCTGCAGCTGAATTGGTTCAGTAATTGCTATTTATAAAGATCTTGACATACTAGACATCTGACATATTACGCCAGTATAGCCCGTGACTGGAACTCCAATAACGTCGATATTTTGAGAGGTGAAACAACTGACCAATAGTTATCAACACTGACTCTAAACAGTCTACATAGTAATTTATGATAAAAATCACCAAATTTTAAGCCAGTATGACTAGGATTTGAACGAAACAAAGATACTACTGCCACAAGCATAATATATTAGCGTTACCTTACTTTCAGAACTACAAAGATCTCGGTCTCTCACAAGCTTCGGATTTAATAATTGTATAACATTTTGTGCATGCTTTTTTTAGTTGGAGAGTTGGACCAAAACCCCGACTTAATCCGAACCCTCGATACGACGAAGCTAGGTGGCACCTGAGCAAAATCAGTATATTAATTCAGGACGAAATAATCGTGACTAAAGAAATTCAGAAAGACTGAAATGTTATAGTATTAAGCAAGTACATATTTGCATGATGTGAACTGCTTCTTGTAAATAGAATGAGAGAATGCTAGGCACTACAAAAAACTACAGCTCTGAATATCTTATGAGGTGAAGCAAATTGTGAAATCTGTCAAGCAAATTTCTGGGATATTACTTATGTTGTCGGACGTCGGAATAACCCCTCGTGGAATAAACTCTTTATGAGGCTGTGTGGAGTAATATTTAGGCAATTATACCTCCTAAAGGGGATTTCAGTTATGTGGAGAAGTAAGAATTTATCGAAAACAGGGCATACCCAAGCAACGACATTATAATCAAACAGGGCGGTCTCTAAGTGCCAAAGAGACTTAACAAGAGTTTTGTCATCCAATTTTCATAAGCAAGATAGTGGATAACTCGATTTATTTTCGTTCTTTTAGTTGACAGTAACGGATGATATAACATTGTTTCATGACTATAGGTTTCCTGATCTCACCAGTGTATTTTTTTAATGTTCTCAAATTATTCTGGATGGAATAGAAGCTTTCACTTAACAGGCTTCCGTATCTAGTAACGGTGGAACACTGATACCTTCAGGTAGGAACCTAGGTATATTAACAATGAAACAGAAAAAAGAAAAATAGTTGGTAAATCATGGTAAGATACTGGCCTTAGTACTTAAGAATATGTCAAGTTTTCTCTTAAAAAACTACTGAAAAGTCGCTTGAACTATCTCATTCTGGAGCGAATTTCAGCATTTGGCTACTCCTAAGGAATAGGTGTGTCTACAGTCCTTTCTGATGTGTTATGTCTACAGTTTTTGGATGTTATCTCTAAGGTTCGTGTTGAGATTAAGTATAAGTACGTGTTTAAGAGGATTCCCTGAAATGTTAAGGATACTGTATGTCATTAGGTCACCTCTAAGATGTCTATACTCTAATATTCTAAGATCCAATGGTTACAGTCACCCTTCATAAGAATCCCTGGACTGATTTCGTGGCTCACCGTTAAATATATTCCAGAGTGCCTTTATCATTTTGGAGTGAATATCACGTTTCCGTGCTCTAAATGAGGACGAATAAAACTGTTGAAGACTATGTGGAAAATTCTTACATTTAACTGGCCAAAAATGCGCTTCGACGTTACCAGTACAAGGTTTGCTCGAAAGTCTTTTTTTGTCGCAATTAGTGTGAAACATCAGACAACAGTTCCAACACTCCTAAATCGTTTTCATCTTGGGATACCTCTAGAGGGGAGTTACCCAAATTGTAGTCGCAGTCTGTAGCATGTCTCAGGTGGACTACTATACACTTCGAAGTGTTAAAGATTAGCCCGTTGTCATCCGTCCAAAATTGAAGTTGATTCAGATCATGCTGAAGTGACAGCTTATTATCTTGGTTGTGAACTTCTCTTCAGGGTTTCACATCAGAGTAAAGTGATAAATCCGACGACACTTACTGTGGAAGATCGTTTATATAAATCGAGAAAAGAAGAGGTCCTAGTACGGCCCCCAGCACACCCCACAAGGACATATCATAGCCTGAAAAAAGTGAAGTTAACCTTAAAATGTCGATTTTTTAAGATATGAAGTTAGCCCATCAATTAAGGGTGATTTGGTGCTTAATCATTTGGGCTTGTTGGTAAGACATATATGGTTGACCCTATCAAAGCTTTTGAGGAGTCAAGGTTTATGATATCAACCATCCCATTGAGATTAAGAGTGTTTGTCTATCTGTCCACCGCAGTCAGCAGGTTGATATGCCTGAACTAAACAAACGGAAGGACTCGGTGTGGATTTTTTAAAACCATCAAATTCCATTATCTTACTGTTCGGCTGTGTCTACCGGCAACCTAGCGCGTCAACAGGTGAAATAGCAGTATTATCAGAGGTATTCACACTAGCATCATCCCTCCCATTCACAGGCAAGCTCATTTGTGGTGACTTCAACCTGCCTAAAATTTCTTGGTTTCCTGTCAAGGCTCCGAAACGTTACGAATCATTTATTGAATGTCCAGAACTAGGAAAGTGGACTCAATATGTTAGTAGCCCTACCAAACATAAAATATCTTGGATTTAATCTTTACCAGTGGCCTAACTCCCAATACTGTGTATATTAGAAAAACGTTTCTAGGTAGTGATCATAACATTGTCGTATATAGCCTTAATATAAAAAACACAACCGGTAGACTTAAAATCGTAATCCTTCGTAGAAACTATCGCAAGGTAGATTGGAATAATTTTCACCATTACCTAAGAAGCACTGACTGGGAACATTCTTTACTGCAAACAATAACGACACACTAACTAGTATATTTTATCACAACATCGAAAGTATAATCAACAAAATCGAACCTTCAGAGTACTGGAGACCTAATTTTTCTGAAGACCAGTATATACCGGTCGGTACACGAAGACGTCTGCAAAGACATTCTACTCGCTTCCACAACTTTGATTACTTTTCGTCTATAGTAACGATGACAGAAATGACAGACGCAATAAGTACACAAAAAGCAGTCGAACAGGAAAAACGTGCTGTCAAACTTAACAATAACTCCTCTGCACTCACCATACTCTTTCAAAATAAACTTAAAGGTTCTAAGTCGAGAGGAAACATATTTATTCAAGACAAGTATACGAAGATCCTAAACTTGTTCCGGAACTATTTAATGAGCACTTTTGTTCCCCATTAACTGATGAAAAACCACTAAATGATTCAGAATCTATCACAGCATCTGCCTGTGAGATTACTAACGTAGACTTCGATGTACAGAATATCTCTAAGGCAATTAGTACATTGAAACACTCGTACACTGATGGACCAGATGGTATTCCGACTAGCAAGCTAAGAATTGGAAGCGATGATATGTATGTTTCATTACTCAAACTATTTGCGATATCACTCTCTACAGCACGTTACCCTGCTGCCTGGAAAACTACACACATCATTCCCAAAATTAAAACAGGACCTGAAACAAATGTTGAAAATTACCGACCCATAAACATAACTTCAGTGGTGTCTAGAGTGATGGGAAAAGTATTTAAGGCGGCGTTAGTTCAATATCTAATTACTAATAATCTCATCTAGGTCTCAGCATGGATTTCTTTGGTCCAGATCATGTGATACATGCCTAGTGGACTACATGAATGATATAACTCTGAAACGAGACAATGAACTTCTAGTATCAGTCATATTTTTAGACTTTAGGAAAGCTTTTGATAAGGTTCCACACAGAAGGAATCAACAACCCACTCTATTCATGGTTTGTTTCATTCTTAAAGGGACGTAAACAAATGGTAAAGTACAACGACTATCTCTCATTACCTAGAACAATAACTAGTGACGTTATCCAGGGAAGTGTATTAGGCCCGATTTTGTTTCTCATGTATATAAACGATATATGTAGCATCATCAAATCTGGAAAACCATACTTATATACTGAGGATCTCAAAATAGTATACATCTATAACCCCGAGGCTCTAAGTGAAAGTGTACCCCTGCTTCAAGATGATCTCAATAACTTAACTATCTGGAGCGAAAGTGATTTTACAAAAGTGACGTTTCCTGAAACCATGTAGTTGGTGTTGAAAGTTTGTGAATAGTAGGTAGTTGTGCATGTGGCCGCACATCAGGGACTCAGAATTTTTAAGGGTATAGAGAGGAGTGCTATCTGTCGGTAGCTTGAAGGTTGGCTGTGTCGACCTTTAAAAATTGGTGTGATATGGGCCATCTTCCAATTTTCTGGTGATGTGCCTCGGCTTAGCCAATGTGTTAACATCATGCTAAGTGGTGTTGTCGATATTGAAGCTACTTCCCTCAGTTAGTAGAGTGGACAATATATAGGTCAGGAGATATGTCTTTTTTGGGTGCTGCATTTCCCGTTACACCAAGTCAGAGCTCAGGTTTTCTTCCGAAAGTCCTGTGAAGGTTCAGGTGAAGCTTTCATAATATTAGTATGGGTCGGTGTAAATACTTGATAGTACTGTTCTGCCAGAAAGTCAGTGGCATCACCGTTGTTGTTGATTTGGCCATTAGAACCTAGCCGTTGGGAAACTCCGGTCTTAACATGTTGAAGAGAGACTGCATAACGGAATAAGCTTTTCGGATTGTAGATAAATTTGTCGATAAGCTTTGTCTGGTACTGAAACCTGTCCTCTCTTATTGCATTTATGCGTATGTTCCTTATTAGTTTGAACTGCATGGATGCGCTGTTTTTACCAGTTCGCAGGTATTCCGCCTGGAAGTTCCTTTTGAGGATTAACAAACAAAGAGTACGATTGTCGACGATCGTAGGTTGTTTGTAGATTTTGGGGACCGTTTTTGGAACAGAATGCTTTGTAGCACATAGGATCGTGCGCTGTAAGAGTTTCCCATTAGTATCCACATCAAGTTGAAGGTGAACTTCTCAGCCCACCTGCTGTAGATTCTCCTATAAGGCTGACACGTCCAACCATTTGAAATTTGAGCGCCTGTTGTCGGTATGATGTCTTGGTTCAGTTATGCTTATGAGACTGAATTTAAATCAATCTGAACCAAATTTGGCCCAAATGGGCTTACAAACACTGGACCCGGAATTCCAGTACAAGTAGATGAAAATAATCGTCTCAGTTATTCACTTGCTTCAACAGGTATGTGATTTTGTTTCCTGTCTCATCACTTGTATTTTCTAAGGATATATCATTTGTTAGTTTAACAGTTCTATATAATATGACAGTACATACGACTTAATCAATCCTAATAAAAACCCTTGTCTCAACGTCACGGATCTCCACTTGACTTATGTCTGCTATTCTGTGGCACACTTCTGGTGGGGCATAATGACAGGCTCATCCGCCCTGTATCGAGCTATCGACAGGCTATCACAGCATGTTCTAAGCAGCTGCTCTATACTAATTTCATCCTCGAATCGTGTGAACCTTTTAAACTACCAAGGCTGTTCTCTGGATCACCTTTATACGTATCCTACGTTCACCAAATGATTGAAGGCTGTCTGAAATTCTGTGGGAGATTAGGAAGTAATTATTGGCATATATTCCATCGTCATGTTAAGTTTGCCGAACAAAAAACCTTACCACTGAACGTTTCTAGTACTTGTTGGTCACCCACTAGCATTCGTATAAATTTTGCACAAAATTATTTTGAGGCATAAAATTTGAATCTAGGAGGTTGCTTTGGGAAAATGCCCTTGGTTGCTCCAGAGACGACATTTTGTCATGGCCTAGATGTTCTCCTACTTGAATTAATCCGTCCTTATTCGTTGGACTTTAGTCTTCGTATTCGTTCTAAGATTTTCAAGCAGTCCTGACTACCGACTGAGCTCAGTTTTCCCTGGGGTCCACAATGTGACAAAGAGTTGGCAGAAAGATGTCTTTGTATTACCGGCCGCAAATCCAACCTACCGTTATATTTGCGCCCGTTTTCCGTGAATAGTTGACACGCACCATAGTCTCAAGCTATTTCTGAGTAACGGTTTATGTAAAGGAAGTCGATGTAAAGACTTTATAAGTAGTAGTTCTTATTATTATTGTTGTAGTCTTATTATAAGTAGTTAGATGTTTCCGTGGACCTAACACCACGTCTTCTTTTTGTTCATGTTCGCTGATGTTATGTACCTTGACTTAAATACGAAGCTTTATCTCAATGATTACGGGGAATCACTTCTGCATTAGTTGTGAACCTAACCCACAATAAATAAATCATACATCAAAGCAAACATTTCCACGGTTCTTAAAGGTGTAGAGATCCATCGCATAACAATAACCTAGTTATATTAGTCAAAAGCCTTGTGTTCCTCGAAAGTAAGCTGCATAACCAACGATACTCTCCATTCCCTCCTGAAACAACTAAGCATGCTGGTTTCTCAAACTCTTGCTAAACCCACCCACCTCGTTTTTCAAGCCATGCCAGTTTATACTACACTATTGTAGACAAGTGTAGTTGTTTTGAAGAAGACTGAAGGATGTGAGACGAAAATTGGTCTTGAACTCGAAGAACAAGCTGTGAAATGACAAGACTTCATAAACCAGAATTTTGTTGTATAACTGTCAACAAAAAATTGGCAAAGCCTTGGCCGTTTTCAAAGTAGCACAGGTCACTGTGTTTTGTGAGTAATAGGTCGAGGGTTCACACTAGTGCGGGACAATAATGTGTTCATTTGGAATTTGTCCCAACTTTTTGCAGTATTGCCTGTGTTCTCCATAGGAACCCGTTGACTAGGATAGCCGGCCAATTTGGTAGACAGACTTGTTGGCAAACTTGGAAGTTACACATAAACATATTCACTGTCGACCCCCATCTTCACCGCTAAGTGAATTAGCAAAAGAAGTTGCCATGACACCTATTGGTATCCTTTTTTACATTTTTTTTACATTTTACTGGGTTCTAAATTTTTGTATTTTATTCTATAATTTCATTACGCTTAATTTGCCTTCTTTTAAGAAAATGAATATAGCCAATAAAGTGACTTCGATAATATAAAAACATCCAGTTCCATCACTCCCATTACTTTAGGATATTCTAGCATGACGTCAAAGTATATTGACATCAGCTCTGATGAAGCGAATCAAAAACTGCATAATATGTTGTCCACAGAAGCAAGAATACATCCCAAATGCTTGTCATGGAAACCAGCACTCAATGTTGCACCACATTACTACGTTTCAAGCTATTTACGTTTTATACTTGAAGAGAATGAACTCTTACGTACTGTTAAGTCTCCGGTACTTCATACGCTGACAACGTTAAAATTAAAAAAATGCCTGTACAAGTCCACCCCAGATTAACCGGAACCTTCTTCCAAATCGGTCTTAATCATGATTAGTGATTAACAAAGTGGACAGGCATGAATTTATCCACACTGAATACACAAATCTCAATATTCACAACAACAATGAAGCATCGATGCCTTTGTTCTTGTCCAAAATGGTCTATGGACGACGGCTATTCATGCACCAAAATGTAGGATGACTTCCATCAGTTTGTAGTCACACCGACCTTAGAACTGCACAGGCTTTAAAGTATTCGTTTGCGCAATGAGGCATGAAAATGATCACAATCTACAACACTAATGTGGTTTAACTAGAACTTTGCAAAGGCCACAAGAGGCCTTCCAGAAGATGAACGGCATCTCCTGGAATATATCCATAGGATAGCTGCTTTCACTATTCCAGAGCTATGTAACAACCATACGCATTAAGGCTTGAAAAGCTAGACCATTTTACTTTCTCCTGCTGAAGATGATGTGTTTCGATTTCGATGTGTAGGATATTATGAAGTGACGGCGGACCTAATATACCTCTTTACTTTAAAATAGGTCATGAAAACATAAAGGATACATAAGTGAGTTCAAAAACCACGAACGAGCAAAATCCTTCGGGGAGACAGGTTTTCTAACCAAGTAACTAACTCATGGAACATGCTATTAACTTTAGTGTTACTTTATTAAACCAACCCATGCTAAAAAAGACTAAGTAGGCGTATGAGATTGCTAGAAAAGGACTAACACAGACCCTGAACCAGTCAACCTCAACGAAATTTTGTAAAATTTAAAATAATTCTTAAGGTATCCAGAATAATAGTGAAAGGTTGGAAAGACCAATAGTATCGACCTTTATCAAGATATAAAGCCTTTCTGTAACATCCAGATATAGATTTAAATCAGTGAGTCAATATGTAACAGAAATATTTAAAAAAGCCTACTGTAAATATATTGAAAATTTAAGGTAGAGGTTTCCATAGCTTTCAGCAACGAGTGCATTTCTTGATTGATGTTGATGTTCCCCTTTACGAGTTATGGACTGTCGCATAGGCAGCATTCTTTTTTCATCAAATTTCGACTCGGGGAATCTAGCTCGTGTCGAGAAAGTAATACGTGACTCAGATGAACCGCCATCATTATCACTTCAATCGAACTCAAAACAACAACAGCCAGTACAGAAAGCCACTAATAAAGTTAACAATACTATTTTTGGAAATTTAGCAATAGCGGAAGTTCGAGCTGATTACGAGTTCAGGATGTGGATAAGACCAGACTGCGCTGGCACTGCATATGCGAACGGGAATCGGACATGGTTTTATTTTTCTATGCGTGGATATAGTCCTGGAAAGATTATGCGGGCTACTATAATGAACATGAATAAACAATCTAAAATTTACAGTCAGGGATTTTCCCCTATTTATCGCGTCTGTGGTCCAACAGTAGCTCAGTCTAGGTATGCATTTTGACCGAAGTATTTACCAATAATTTATAGATACGTATTTATGCATAATTAGGCATTTTATCAAGCTCTTGACATTTTGGTTGTTTGCTACTGCGCGTTTTTCGCATCAGTCTTTGTGCAGTCACAAATTAGGCAATTGTTTTCCTCATACCGAAAAACTGGTGGTGATCGAATAGTCACTCTGTTCAGTTATGTAGTTAATTTGCAAACAGAGATGCTAGTCACATAGTTTGCGAATGAAGGTTCCTTGGACTCATTACACTCCACCAGAATGAGTAAACTTTTCCAGTTGGTGTTTCCACATAGCATGTTTAGGGCAAAAGAGGCTTCATAGACCAAAAACGATAGTTTGTGAGTACTGTGTTAAAAATTTTTAAAAAATTCATTCGCTGAGATTTTACAAATATATTATTCCTATTTAATGTCTTACTTCAACTCGGCGCTCAAATACTGTGAAACTTCGTTCCAATTTAGACGAGAGTTCTTATATGTACTGTGTTATGTCTTCAAAATAAAGACAGATTCATGTTGGTTTACTGCTTAAAATTTCATTTAACTCCATTTTTGAACGAATTGCAATCTTTTTCAAGTGAAAGTGATAAACTTTATTTTCAACTACCTATTATTTTAAAATACTCAAGAAGTTTACAGTACATTACAAAATACAATACAAAATACATCCTACCACGAAGCTCTCAGCCCATCATTGCCTTCAATTAATTGCGAGATACAAAGTGAAGTAATACTTTGGGTTCTGATATAAATTCAAGTGAATAATCTAATTATCTAAGGGGTTTAGCACAAATGCTTAAAAACCTTTTCATGCGGATTTTTTACGTACGGCTTCATTTTTTTTTAACTTGTTAGCACTTTTAAATTATAAAAAGTGGTCTGTTTTTGTCTGTTGCGTGGTGGTCATTGTTTTTAGAACACTCGAAATAAGCGGCACAGTTTTTATGAAACTTGAGGGGCTATTGTTAGCAGAAAAGGTCCTAATTCGGTATAAATAAGGTTGAGAAGAAATCATGAAAAGTAAATGTAAAGTAATCTTAAGCATTACTGTGAATTAATAGGTAGATGAAGTAAAAGATAATTTGCGTGGGATTAATTCAGAAATTCCCAGAAAATCAGTTAGCAATTAAATGAGACACGACCTTTGAAAATAAAAATTCGGGAACTCAAAAACAGGAAAATCTTAAGTAACATCGATGCCACATGAATAGAAGGGTAACTGTAATGTTTGAACCATATAGTCATAGTAGAAGTACAAACTTCTATTCAAATCAGGTAAGTCAGTCAAAATGTACCTAGTTAGTCCCAGTTAAACAGTTAAATTGAATGACGGCATCGTTAAAGCTTCACTGGTATCTTGTTATTTCATGTTCTTTTAAGGGTTTAGTCATTTTTGTTATTGCTTATAAGTTAGATTAACTTTGTTAATCCCCATCTTCACATTTTCGACACAGTTAAACAAACAAGTACAGTAAGACAAACACTGGTACAATTGGTTATAATAATAATTGTTTCCATTATACCAATCTCGTTCTCGTCACAAAAGTAGATCACCACAGTTTCAAGCAGTAAGATGATTGAGAACTGAATAATCACCACCAGTAAAAAATTCTAGGGTCAATATTTTAAAAATAAATATGACATCACATCGGATCCGTTTAGATTTAAAGTTATAAGGCAAAAGCATCAAAATAGTCAAACCAAGGTACATCGTGAAACTTCGGATTGGTAGACTGACGCTTTAAGTTGTATGAAAAGCTGCAGGCACTGCATTCAGTGATGAATTAAATCCATAAGTTGAGTTCTGAGTTAGTTTATTCAAAAGGAAGCTTTTATTTAATCTATTAAGCTTTCGCTCAATAGACATGTGAATATTTCTGGAGTATTATAAACCTTGATAACCGGAATGAAAGAATTTTCTTTCAAAAATATGAATGTTTTGTGTTTCCACTTTTAACTTCAAATAGTCACAGACTATAATTATTATCACTTCTGAGTGTCAAAAGTCAACTGAAGAATGGATTATTCTAATTGAACTAGACATGAATTATCAGACTCAAAAGATTTATTACAATAAAATAAATAACAACAGATGCATCTATTGCCTACCTGATACAATTAGTAATTATGATTAGTTATTAAAGAAAATTTCTAGTTCGATGTTTTTAAGGAGAGATAACTTAAGTGTTTGTCGCACAAGTTTATTCATCGCTTTTTTTAAAAGCTGTTATTCAGATCAGAAGGGGTTTAAACAAGTTTTATAATGGTGAGAACAAAGTAAGACAAGAACTAATAGTTTATAGTAAAGAAAGAAGTGCAAGCCACATTCTACGAGATGAGTGCTGTGAAGTAAATTAGTGATTTAAGGAACGTATCAAGAGGACATGACGAAAGACTCATTTCATTTTCTTTTGATAGCAGTTAACATTAATTTCATTATTCAATACCTTTTGATTGCAGTTCATGCATTAAGCTCATCACTGTCTCTTAGTTGGTTTACTTTCATGATGTCAATAGTTAATGCGTTGGGATGAATTGAATAATGATTAAACATAGTTTCAGATCGCACAAGTAAATGTGTTCATGTGAGGTTAACAAACCATTTGGGCCACTGACTAAACCAATAAACTGGTTTTATTATTTAGACAATATAAATATGTAGTTATTATTATTTTAGGTGGATTCGTGGAAAGCTTCATCGACTGGAGGATCAATAGGAATACAGGAGTAGTGGAGAGCTGTTTTATCGTTTATTGAAGCCCCCTAGAAGTGGGTAATAATTATCACATGTGGATTATAATCCGGAACCTTTACTGGACCAAAATAATATCGGTTACTGCTCAGCAATTAACCAATGTAGACCATAAAAAGCTGTATTTCAAATAAGTGCATTTTACTATCACAAATAAGTTTTTCTGTTTATTAATAATCATATGTGTATTTTTTTCATGAATTATTTAGGTGGCAACGTATACGTGATAAGCCTATTTGGGAACTAGTTAATGGACAGTTTCTTTTAACATTTATACATCGATTCCAGGATCCACGTGGAAGTATTACGTATTTTGCATTTTGTTATCCATGGACATATAATGAAATGCAAACACAATTAAATAAATTAGATAGCATATTTCATTACAATAAAAATAAAAACATCAATGTAAATAATGAAAGTTTATGCAATAAATATAATACGATGAAGTTGAATCCAATAAACAATAATGATAAATTTGAAGATCCTTTCATAAATTCATCAGATTTATTGAGATCGTTTAATATGAATAAAACAAAAATGATCAATGGTACAGTTAACACTATTCCAACTTCATCTGCTCTATCTTCCTCCCTTTCCTGCTCCTCCTCATCATCACTTTCTTCCTCATCATGTGATCCAAAATGTTTCCCAGAAAATGATTTATTTGATAAGATTTATTTCCACAGAGAATTACTTTGTTATAGTTTAGAAGGAAGAAGAATTGAATTACTGACAATCACTGATTGGTCTCGATGTACTTTTGTTGAAGAAGATCGCTTTGATCCATTACTATTTCCTGATTTAGACAAATCGAGACCATGGAAATTTACAAATAAAAAGGTTAGTTGATAAATGCTATCAGACAATAAAATAAATATCAAAATGTGAAATGGTTGTAGCAGATGAACGTGTTTTTGATACCGCATCAATGTAAACATAGTTCATGATTGATATTGAAGGAAAGTGTAACTGAGAAGTATATCGCCATTTAAAGCCTGTTACAAAACGCTATGTTCAGAGTGAGAGTACGTAACCTTTTTCTCTACATTATAACTTTGTACAAGGAGACTAGGCAGGGTTTTATAATCACACCATTCATTTTAAACATTTTAGAAACAGCTCTGAACGGATTAGTATGCTTTAGTGATGGTAATTTATTCTTTGGGAAAATTGTCGACTCAGAGTATGGAGATGTTGTTTTTCTGTGTAGTGATAATCTTGCTGATAGAATCCTACTGAACCGGATTTCTGTCTGTAATTACCTTGCACTTACCTATCAGACCAATGAGTTAACATTCAGCGGTCAAGCACCGGTTGAGAGCCTAAAGCTTCCGGGTTAGGTTCCCAGTGAGGTCGTGAGTATTCAGTGACTAAAAGTCTTATACAGAGGCAAAGCAGTTGTTCAGTGCTACCTGACTTCCAGTGATCCTAATATGTAGGTTGATCCATGAAAAATACCTCCTGAGAATAAAATACTGATTATTGAAAAGTTACTTAATACCAAAGGGGGAGATACCTGAATAAAAAAGGACATGTTCTGACGCTGAGTTTTAGAGATTCAATAAACCTTCATTCGTAGCAGATTTCGCGTTCTCACTCCTCATCGTAGGAACTACAGTGGGTCCCATTTCCAATTATAAGCAGAAGGGCTTTGGATACTACACTGTATGTACAAATGAACTTCTAATCGATGGTCTTACCTCAGTACTCTATAAAAAATACGTAAAGCACTTTATTATTTAACAAGTGATTTGATTTCCCTAGTCTTATTTATGATTTATAGTCATTTACATATTGTTTATCTCTTATTTTAGGTTGTTTTAGTTAGTGCTCGTGTGCATCCCGGTGAAACACCATCAAGTCATGTATTTAATGGATTATTAGAATTTTTACTACGTATAAATGATCATCGTGCATGTGAATTACGCAAACATTATGTATTCAAATTAATACCAATGTTAAATCCAGATGGTGTATTTCGTGGTCACTATAGAACAGATACTCGTGGTGTCAATTTAAATCGTGTATATTTAAAACCTGATTATTTATACTATCCATCAATTTATGCAACTAAAGCTTTGATTACTTATTATCATACAAACTATGGAACATTAAAATCATATGCATCATTTTTAGATGATATTTTTAAACAAAAATTATTTACTACTACCAACTATTTTGAAACAAACGGTGAAAATATTACTATTGAATATACAGATAATGAACCTCGTAAATTATCACCAAACCAAACGATTTGTTCATGCGAAGATACAAAGGAGACAAAAGAAAAAGTATTATCTGATTGTGAAACACAAGAAGTAAAACCAATTATATTTATGTATATATATTATCGTAAATTTATTGTTCATTAACTAAGTGTTTGTAGTTATTTCTTTGGGGTTACATTATACATTGTCTAGATAATGTGCTAAGATTGAAGGTAGTGGTTACTAGATAGGAGTTTCAGACTGAACTCCAACAATGGAATTCAAGTACATCCAGTTTACGAGTTTTATATGGAACGAAGATCACGTGCTATGTTTCAGTATTAGCCACTTTTCAAAATATAAATAATGGTAGTTCTACCAAAGTAACATTATAAGCATATAGTTAGTTTCAAACACATTACAAGACATTCGTAATAAAGTAAGATAAATTCTGGAAATATTGCTAAATGACGATGAAAATGGAGTTATGTTCTTGGTTATCTTCTTAATTCTTCCTAACAGTTCTAACGTTTCTTCACATAACTCAAAGTCATACCATCACATCGAATATATTTTGTAATCAGATGATTATTATTGTTTCATAGCTAGGTCAAGGAATAGAGACACGAACAACAAATAACTAGTTTTGGTTGTGAGGTTTTTCTTATGAACACAAATTTGGAGTGTTTAAAGTGTGTTTGTTGATCTTTTGGGAAACTATAACTCTTATAACAGAAGTTATGAAGAAATATTTCCTGATACGTACCAACTTTAATATCTCTAACAATAATAAAAGTACAGAACATGATTTTATTCTATTAGTATGTATTTGTATATACTCCTTGTCGATGTTCAGACAAATTCAGTTGGTGAGTTTCAGAATGAAACTAGCGTTGTGTATTCTGCCTCTAGGCATGGTTTAAATTTAATAATGTTGATATTCTATAATTGCTTCAACATTTTTTTATTCTATATAGTCATTGAAATACATTTTAGAATAATAATGTTCTTTGTATATATTTTATTTTTTCCCACGAAGCAATCAACTTCAAAAAATTATTCTATAAAAGAACATTATACAAATATTAAACAAGATGAAGAAAAAAAAGAATCACATTTTAACTCTACAAATGATCAACTGTCGACTACGTATGAACAACAAATGGACAACCAAAATATCTTCTTGACAAAATCATTTGATACTGGATTATCATCATCAACAACATCAAACTCGCTGTCGAAAACAAATAGCCTTGCGGAGAAACATCTATCTTCTAAGCATTTATCACCTATTGAACATATGTTTAATAGTTCCGGTTCGACAAAAAATGATGAAGATACATCGATAGTTCATAGGATCAACTTTCCTATTGCTGACACTGATAAGAATTCAGTCACTAATGAATGTGATGCAGAGTTAAGAAGTACTTCAAATTATTTTCATGCTACCACTGAAACGAACAATTTACCACTGAAAACTTTATCACGATTAAACAATTCAACGTCAATTTCCACACCATTTCACAAAACTGAATTAAATAAAAAAGTTTATAAAAATGTAAGGCATTTAAAACCAACTAGATTTCCAATAACATGTAATACAGAGCTTGGTTCTCAAAAGCCTCTTGAAGATTGTCATGCGGCATCCAGAACACAAACTGCAATATCAACAACAAGTAATTTATTACCATTAGTAACAAAACTTACTACATCAACACTCAATCCCAATGTTGCAAAACCTTCGAGTTTAGATGATGGAATATCTAAGAAATTTAGTAACCAACATAGATATAGAACAGTTGAACAAAAAACACCAAGTCAACCAAGTTACATTTCATATTTTGACAAAAATAAACGCCGTTCAACATTAAAAGTTGATTGTCTTCCTTATTTTTTAACGTGAGTTGACTTGTGTAGTTTTAGGAGCAAATGCTTCTTGCATCTTTTTCGTAAGTGTTATAAGACGGTCATATATTTCTTCAGATAAATGGGCTCTTTGCATAAATCTTACGATAATGTCGTCGACTTTCTAAATGATTTATTCCTGTAAACATAGGGTAAATAAATTTATGTTTTTCAGTATGGGGATTCGTGGAGATTGTAGTATTTCCAGTTGAATTCATGAGTCAATCTAAGCTAGACCATCATTGAAAACCTGGAATCACTGGACGGCCGTTTCATCCTAGTATAAGACTTCTCAGCAGTATTCACCTACTATCAAGCACGCGGGACCGAATATCCTGGGCTGGAGTCCCACGTACCGGATCGTGGGTGAATACTGCTGAGAAGTCCTATACTAGGATGAAACGGCCGTCCAGTGATTCCAGGTTTTCAATGATGGTCTAGCTTAGATTGACTCATGAATTCAACTGAAAGTTAATGTTTATTTCAGACTGCATACAAACTAGAAATTTATCTCAAATATTATATTCTACATTTGTAATATTTGAGATGTTTTAGCTTCTAGCTTTAAGATAGGTCAGTTTAACATCACATCTTTGTTTTTAGTTCGTCATCTCAAGTATTATCAGTTTTTACTAGGTATATTTTTGTGCGTTAGAATAATGAAGACCAATGGCAAATAACAGTAAAACTCATAAACTTTATTATACTGTGTTCTTCACTCAGCTTCAATAAAACAAATATATTATTTTGTATTGAATGTGAAAGTGAGCAAAATTTACAATGCATTTAATTTTTCAGTTCTGTTAGTTAAACTGAACAGTTTGTATGATGGATTACAATAAATGATAATTATACACTTTATCTGGTGATAGATTTTATATGCTTTGCTAACTCCAAATTTCACAAAGATATCTGACATGAAAAAAGGAAGTATATCCCCAACAATACATTAAGTAGATAAAACTCAAACAACAATCTACAATTGTATCTTGTTATAAAGTAAGCGTTTAATCCACTATACTGTTAAAGATGGAAATAAAAGTGATTATAATCAGAAGGGGTTTTGTGGAGATTTCAGTATTTTCATAGTTGAAAGCATGAGTAAATTGAAGGTAGACCACCAAGGAAAACCTGGAAGCACTGTATGGCCTTTTTTCATCCTATTGTGGAACTCCTCAACAGTGCGTATCCACGACCTCACCTCGCGAGATTTGAACCCAGGACCTACCAGTCTCGCACCAGAGCACTAAACCGATAGACCACAGAGTCCAGTGCTTCCAGGTTTTCCTTGGTGGTCTAGCTTCAATTGACTCATGCTTTCAACTATGAAGATAAAACTGGTTGTTCATATTACCAAAACCTGTAGGTTCGTATAGAAGTCACTTACTATTTTTCTTCAAGTCTAGACATACGTAGGAAATACTTAATAATAATGTTTTCTGTAAAACTTTATGTTACTAAAATTATATCAATACATTAATAGTACAGTAGTATACTGAATGTGTTAATGATATATTATTAAATATTCATCAAATCGTCCTTCGCTTTCAATCATTATGTTACGTTGTTATACGGTGATTTAAATAATCGTATTATTTGGTGGCAAAAAAACACGTTTATTTTCTGAAATAATGTTGTATAAATCAATCTAATGTGATTTCCAAACATAAATGTTATTTTCATCAATCGTAATAACAAATAATCTTCTTGTCCAATTGTAAAGTATTCCAATGCCTTCAAGTAACTCACGCTTTAAACTATGAAAACAAGAATAATTTGAAATTAAAGAACTGTCATGAATAATTCTGCTCTTCTATTCTAGATTTAATAAGATATGTAATGGATGTCCGTTGAGTAATCTATTTCATTTTGACTAAAAAAATTCTAATTTTTTAAAACTTGTATATGAAACCTTATTAATTTTAGTGTTCTTTTTGAACTTCTATGTTTAAATAAATGATTACACTCATATTTCTATAGGAAATGGAATGTCCCATATCAAAAAGCTATAACAACTAAACATTCTCCAAAATTAACTTCTGAAAATTTAAAAATTGTTAATACACAAATTAATTTTAATAATGAAGAAGCAATCTATTTTAATGATGAAAGAAATGCTAAACAAAAAGATTTTAAATCAATTGACAATGTGTATTCATCTAAAAAATTCAAATCTTATTTAAAATATGGAAAAGTTAAAAAGCGAAAAATAAATTTTTTCAATCAAAAATTTTCAATATTGAATACAACACAGATTCCTTACAATGATGATACAATGACTACACTTATCCCATTACAAAATACTACAGAACATGATTACAGTTGTAGTAGTATTAACCAAAGTACAGTGATTGAAAAAGACAATATAATAATGAAGTCGACAAATCATATAGTAAATAATAATAGCCATACTATGGAGGATATTTCCAATGAAGAAGTTAACCAAATAATGAATGAAGAATTTTACAGTTTCGATACATCTCATTCTGTTGTAGGCAATGAAGGATCAGATTTAGATGCAGATCATTACAGTAAATGAAAAACAAAATTCTATTTATTTATTTTCATTATATATTTTAAAGTGTGTTGTTATATCTTGTTATCTTGATATAACCAGTGTAAATTTCAATATATTAGCATTGGAATATAACAAGCAATTTTGTTTTTAATATAATACCACTTTAAGATTTAATAAACATATATATATATATAGCTGAGTGGATAACACAATGGCGCTTGAAGCGAGGGTACTGGGTTCGAGTCCCAGAGTGAACATCAACTCTGAGATGCAGGCACATCCATCTGATGAGTCCCAAATCGGACGAAATGCGCGTCCTGGATTCTACTGCCAGCCACTATCTATCTTTGCTTACAATGCTTGTAAATTAAGGCTATATCGAGGCAATACGCACAATATGCACATATGCCAATTAGAAACTGACCAGTTGCAGTCCTAAACATCAATTGGAAGATTCAAACAAACAATACTAATTGAATTTAAGTAATCTAAAGTTTTTCATCCATGAATTCTGTTAGTATTTTGTGTTTCTAATATTTTTACCATGAGAAAAATTGCTTCATATTACACATTATTGATTACTATTATTGTCAATCATATTGTTTTCCAATTAAAACTTTACTTCATAGATGATTTAGAAAGAAACTTTATTGACGAAGATTTATCTATCAATCCATATTATGTACATATCTTAGAATCTCTTGGAACACTAGTTAGACAAGAAAAGAATACAACAAACGATTCAAATGAAGCTGTTAGTTCAGTTAATATAACAGATGATAATTTCAATATGAATGAATTAAATAGAATTCAATTATTAAAAGAACAATTACAACAACTTAGAAAAGCTGATCATTTATCTGATGTTGATTATTTACGTTTTGATAAAAATGAAGATAGTAATGTTGCATTTTATTTTGATTTACATGGACATTGTTCAAAACGTGGTTGTTTTCTTTATGGAAATTGGTTAGAAGAAGAAAATAAAATGGTAATGATAAACAGTTTTATACATTTAAAATCTTACAGTTTCATTTGAAAATTACCTTTCTTAATATTGAACTGATTGATTTTATTTAGCTTAGCTTGAAACAACATGGAAATATCTGACGGTTTCAAAATTCAAGTATTTTATAATCGCATATACAACGATATCAGGAAAATAATTTTAAAATTAGATCTGGTAGAACAATACACTCACCTATTTCTCTCTTTCTCCTTCAATAGATGGCGTCATTTTTAGAGTCCTAACTTTTGTATAAAATAACAAACTAAACTATTTTTTATGTGACTATGTTTTTGCAGTGTATAACAACTTTAGTCGAGGTACCACTACACAAGGTTCTCTGCTATTTCAGTAAGTAATTCGATAATCTGAATCGTGGATTCTGTTTTCCGTATTACTCAGGTCCCACAATAAAGACGGAAAACTTAACAAGTATATTATTCATAGTTTTTTTAAAGCATGAGTCAATTGAAGCTAGACCACCATGGTCTAGTAAAAATATTTTGATATTTGACTATTACAACCTTAAAAATTTACTCTATACACCTCGAAACCTGGGTTTTCAATAAAGTATGAAATAATTTTAAATCAAACTAAACAACACTATCTTGGCTTTAAAAATATATAACAAAAGCAAATTTTGTAAGCAAAGATAGATAGTATCTGGCAGTGGAATCTGGGACGCGCGTTTCGTCCTATATGAAACTCGTCAGCTGGATGTACCTGCATCTCAGAGTTGATGTTCACTCTGGGACTCGAACCCATGATTTGATTTATCATTTCGATAAATGTGCAACAAGAAATTATCGTTAAGCATAATCAACCATATTTAAAGATTGCCTACAAAGTCAGTACTGGGAAAATGAAGAAACGTACTCGAATATCAATAGATTTACTTTAAAGTAATACGATTCAATGTTTTAGTTTAGTTCATTCTCTTAAATTATAGATAATATCGTAATTTAATAGCATTCAATTACAAATGACAGTCCAATAACACTGATGGTAATTTTATGACTTCTAAATCAATGACTGATTCAATAAGTTAACAATTATAAATAAAGTTCTTCACAAATATTTAATACATAAAGAAAAACAATGATTATAACACCTTTACAATGGCTTTTTCAAAAGTAGTTGCTATGTTTAGCTTACTGAAGGGTCACAAAAATATTGGAGTGACAAAAATGGATCAAAGTGAGAAAATAGCTCCATATTTCTTTGTTACCTGATGTTTTGCTCTCTGTAAACATTAGAGGTACTTATTTTAATAAGGAATTATGTCATTTTTGTATATATTCTAAACAAGGACGAAACATTTGCCTGAAGCTCTGTAGGTTTTAAAGTATCCCCGAATAACATCAGACTATGATTACTATTATTTTGTACATGTTCTCAACAAAATTTAATATAAATAGTAATGTTTATAATTTCTCTTCTTTTATTTAAATACATTTATGTTTACTTAGGTAGATAATGTTTTATATGCTTTATTGGTTGGAGTGAATTCAATCTACTTTGATTTTGATTCATGTAACTTTAGTTTACGTAATATGTATCAAAAAGATCGTAAAGGAACTTCAACTAAAGAAGGTGCAGGTCGTGTTGCATTATGGAAACATTTGGGACTAACACATTGCTATACAGTTGAATGTAACTACAATTCAGGTATGTTTCATTGGCTTACTAAAATTTTTTTTACCAGAAATTACTTTACACCAGTACTGATGTCAGTTTGAGTAGTATCGTCTAAACAAAGTGAACAAAAAAACAGTCAAAAACCAAATAAGTAAACAAAACTGTGTATAGACCAATGGGCTCTTTAATCTTAAATCTGGTCGGAATGTGAAAGATGATAGTTTACCACACAATTATTTGCTGGTAATTCTGAACGCTCGCTTCTTCCAACTTACACACATTTATAACATTCCTTGAATCCAAAATTCTTTGTCATATTTAGTGAAAATTCCAATACATCTGCAAAAGATATTGACTTATAAAATCTTAAAAGCTTTTCAAATAATCCAACTATATTCATAAGCTATGAATACAGCACTACTTATTGTGATTATGTAATAAGTGTGAAGCATACGAAGGACTCAAATGACAGAAAACACTTAATACTCTTATTTTAGCTACTCGAGTTTACTACAATCTTACTAAAATATAAAAAGAATTTGCTAAAAATTTGAATGTACACAAATAATAAGTGAGGCAATTTAAAGAATCTAAGATAACTTCTGTATTAGTTATAAAGTTCTAGACTTGATGTAAATAATGGAGCATGAAATCAACAATTAAGTTCAGAAAACTCCACAGTTTAAAATACTCAATAAACTAATTCAGGTTAAGATTTCCTATTTTTTCAAGTGCCCGAATTTACTCTTATGATATTAATAATAATAATTGAAAACCAGTAAACTGCTTACTTATTTTCTTTAGCTTCACGTATTTAGATTTTATTACGTTTGTACATCGCCTAACTTATCTGACTTATTACGATGCCGATAATTTGTATTGTAAGCAGTAAAAATTATGTTTATAGAGCTTATAAAGACTAATAATCTCAATCATTAACATAAACAACAGAGAAATACTAATTATTACAGTTATTAGCAAATAAATAAACTGATGGTTATGAGTTCAGCAGTCCAATAAGTAATACTTATTATCTGAACACTTACATATTGGTTTCAAGTACTAATGAGAATGTAGACAGTGACATTCAATCACATTTAGCTAACAAATCTCAAATAAGATGAAACACGGCGCTTGTATTCTATTAGCAAAAATATAATAAACTCTAAATTTGTTCTGGTTACTATCGTCATTAGAATACCAATTGTGACTATTTAAACAGTATAAAATTTAACTTGAAGTAAACGAAGTATACCTGTTGAGATAATAAAATAAATTGAAGTTTGTATTAAGAATATATTTTTCTTTAACGTGTTGAATTGGTATAGAGAATGAATATCCCGTACTGAATAGTTTTGAAACCACTAGACCACTGGGCCGGCATCCAACGGTGTTAATGTCTAACTTCAACCGCTCAACTTCAGCGCTCGCGCGCGAGACTGATAGGTCCTGGCGGGATCGTGGTTTCGCACTGCTGAGGTGTCCCACAATAGAACGAAACTACCGTCCAGTGCTTCCAGGTTTTCCATGGTGGTTTAGCTCCAATTGACTCATGATTTCAACTATAAAACTTAATTCAGTCAATTCAATTACAGTACATTATTAGGTATATAGTGAAAGTTTTTGTAAATTCTGATACATCTCTAAAATGTACCATATATCATATTAGTGATGACATTCAGAGTTGAGTTAAAAAGGCTTTTAATATAACATCTATTGGTCACCATAACTTATAAGAAAATGGTGTGAATATTTTATATAATCTTTCTTTTATCTCTTAAAAGTTATAAATGGATTACTTTTACTAAACGTTACAGAATAAATTAATTAATTTACAGTCATATAGAATTAATTATCCCTGTAAGTTCATACATTGTGTCAAGTTATATGAATGCCTTTTTGTGACTTACATCAAATATGATAATTAGTTACCTTAAACATGAATTAATGATAATTATTAGTGAAAGAAAATATCCTGAAAAAATAATAATTTGTTATTCATTCATTTCATTTCGCAAGTTGCACTCGTTTCGGATTTGCTAAAACTGAATGCATCACTAAAATCTGAGATGACTAGACATCTTTTCCATCTTAATATACTTTTCGGCAAAGGGAACATACAATCCTGTCAGAGATCTTTTATATCTAGAGCTTTGATTCTTGCTATGCTGCGTACTTCTAGACTACTTGAATGATCGAACCCACAACGTCGCAAGAGAGAAGATAGAAGACTAGTAAGTAGGAATTTTATTCTCCAACAGTAACCAATATAGTACGAAAATCAAATGTATTTATGGTTTTTTGACTGAAAGTAAATCATCATTTCGGACAGCCAATAGGAGAGGTCATTCTTATCCATCCAGTAGGCAAGCTACACGGCGACATTCTACAATGTTCCCCTAGTGGTGATTGGATGGAATGTCTTCGGCTCTTTCTGGGCTTCTTGAGGCTTCCTTGAGTTTGCCAACGAGCCATCCTTACAAGATCAAACTCAGAGTCCGTTAATCATAATGTTTATCGTCTATCGTTTGAGATATTTATTACGATATCACTATATTTAAAAATAAATATCTACTGTAGCATATTCTAGTTATAGATTCTCTATGATATACATAATACGAAAACATGCTCCTGAATTCAGTTGTCTAGGTTTTGATTTCTATCTTATTTTCCAGTTTTTCTCAAGTTATTTTCCTCCAGAATCGACGTCCATTAGGGAGTGACCAAAATTACTCAACATTGAACAGTTTGTTCGTATTCATTTAGGAATGCTAGGTAGTCTGTATCTACAACTTCATATGAAGTGAAACAGGTAATAATTAGTTCTTTTGGCAAATACGATATTCGTTGATAACCGAGTTAGAAGTCATTATTATAGATTTTTGAATTAAGTCATTTCATGATGCAACGGGATTCTACCAGTGATATTTATTTTGCTTTCTTTAGCGTCAAGGAAAGTTGCAAGTCAACAGTAAGCTAACTTTCAGTTAAGTAATCTTCATACATATTTATCTTAAAAAAATTCTTTTAAAAGCTTAAATATATGGTACCCTAACTTTTTCAAAAATTGATTAGGAAATTTATCATCAAAGAACATTGTAGCTGAAAGTGATGATAAAAATACTTTATTATATAGTACCTTTAACATAGCCTACTTCAATTCTTCATTTGACTACTAAACTAAGTGATTTCATGACTTCATCCACTTTATTAATTGCTGAAAATTGTGAAGCTTTCAGTGAAAATCACAGACCAAGATTTCATCATAGTTTGTAATTATTAATAAAACGGAATTAAGGTTTTGAAAAAGAACAAATTTCTCTGTTGAAGTAAGTCGTCGTTTAGTTCCTAATTTGATGATTCATATTAGCATTAATTTACCTGTTTGAAGACTTCTGCTGCTCATGATTTATGTAAAGTCTGACTAATATTCACATTTTACAAACACTACAATACTAACAGAATATTAAATATATGGTGGTAATCTCCAAACGAGTTATGTCAAAGAAACCAAGAAATAATATAAATAGCAAGTATAAGTCATAGATCAGAACAATCTTTTCTCAGTAATTGAAAGATTTTGTTTTTAATCAATGTATTCATTATCTAATAGTGAAAATAATAAACTAGTTCAATATCATTTCTTCTTTTTTTCAGGTCCATTACCAAGTCGTCTTTCAAGATTTATTGCTTCAGCACATCCTAATGACAGTAAATGTTTCACACCCATAGGTGCATTTTATGGTCCTCATTGGTCTGATATGGTGAATACAGCTAGTAGTCAATCATTTAACTTCAGTTTTAATGCATGCTCAAGTACAAGTCATACTAGTCAAAGTGGGAATCAAGCACTTAACGGTATACCACGTTATACTCCAGCTCATTATGAAGATGTTGGCCGAGCATTAATGATAGCTATATTAGATTTTAATCAGATCAATCCATGGCCAAAAGTTGCAGGTCTTGGTGGTTCAACAGCTGAGTCTAACGTTGGTATTCTTACTTTGTGGTCATCGTTACCAGAATTTATGAACATTAACGTAAGTCACTTTACAATATAGATTTAAGTGAACAAGGCCTTTTTTAAGTTGCTTTATTTATTCACTTATATTGTAAGGTTATATTAAAGTGTAAAGTTTGAAATTTTTCTTGAGATGGAACTATGCATTTAAAACATACAAAAGTTTTTATGTTGGTTTATTTATCCGATAACTAATAAACGGTAGGCAATAACAAAACACCATTATTAGGGTGTTGATACATGTGCACTCAAGCTAAATGCAAACTGACAGCATAAAACATGGTCTTACTAACAAAATATTCAATTGATTGTAGACAATAAGTTTAACAACGCATTGATGTTGTTTCAGGTAGCCTACAGATGGTTTACATTATTCCTAATAGTTATCTGAACCTCTCATCTGAACTTAATAAAGATATTTGAATTAATGATTAGCCTGTCCACTCTTTTATTAGATTTGAGCTAAAAAAGGTATGATTTATTTGTTTGTATATCCGATTTCAGCATATGAAAAGTAAACCTCAGTGGGCTATCGTAATACGGTAGGAATGTGGTGTCGGTTACTATGTTAAGTCCATATAACTTATTCTAGCTTCTGGTCAGGCCAATCTGTCCATTCTTCTTGAGTCACATTTTGATCTTGTTAATCATTCACTTATCAATTCTGACTATCTTTATATGAGTGTTTGGGTGTGCACTTCTTATCCTATTCATTACATGTCTGAACCTTATATTGTGTGACTAAAAATATCGATTAGTGCTTGATTGAAGTGAGTTGGCTCTCACGCCATCTCCACTGCACTTCATTTCGCTTTGCTCTCTTCTCTTCTCTTCTTTCCCCTGATTGTCTATTCAAATCAATGAGTGTACAAAATATACGCACTCAAAAGTCCATTCTCGTATTTGGCTTATTTAGTTCTGTTATTCACTAACGCGGATTAAGTGGATAATTATATACGAGGATTGGCCGACATATATATTTCGACATGTATATCTCAATAACAATCAGTCGTACGATCTAACTGGAGTTAGATCCCTGATCACAAAAGGACTAGCAAATAAGGTATCTATTAAAATTGAATAAATTGATTATTATCAGAATGGGGATTTTGGAGATTGTATGTTCAGCGCTCGCACGTGAGACTGATAGGTCCTGCATTCGGATCTCGAGAGGCGAGATCGTGGATGCGCACTTCTGAACAGTCCCATAATAAGACGAAACGGCCGTTTAGTGCTTCCGGCTTTTCCATGGTGGTCTAGCTTCAATTGACTCATGATGCAACTATAAAATTGCTAAAATCTCCACAAAACCCCTTTCTGGTAGTAATTCCAATAGTTTAATTCATGAGTCGATTGATTATTGATAATTAAATGTCGTAGTTCAAATACCAAACCATCACATTTTTATCCTGCAAATGATTTGCGCATCATTATTTGCTCTGAGAATACCGTTACATTCTGCACCTGACTTCCAAATTTGAGTCTACTCAAGAAAATGTACTCACAATATTTAGGTACCATAGTGAAGAATATACCTTTAAAACACAGGGTTACAATTTAATAGTTCACATTTTCAACTCCAAATGCTTTGTTAGATTCCCATCATTTAATATCATCAGCAGCTAATGATTCTCACCAAGAGTTCATTTATTTAAACTCATTTATGGTTTGTTGGAAGATATTTAAGTTGAACAAACAGTTTTATATCAAAGACCTTTTTAATTATATTTCCTTATGGTTTTGTAAAATTTAATTACACGTTCTAATAAATCAGGTGACTGTATGATATGAATGTTCTTTAATTCATTAGTTTACTTGTAAGCTAAATGAATACTAGCCTAGCTAAGTCTGTTGTTGCACAAATAAAAATAACACTGATTATACTATCCCTTTTATTGAAATTATTTAGTTTATAACGATTTTATTATGTATGAAAGTCAGGTAGAAAATCACTGAAAAACAAGGGTACAGCTTCTGCTCTAGTTAGAAGTGAGCTCCTACCAAACAACATGAGATCGAAGCTCTGGACGTTCTATTTTTATAATAAACAACTTTATTTGCAAAAAAAGATTCTATTTGTTTCAGTGTTTTTGGGGTTTGACGAAGATTAAGGTTTGGTCCATAATCTTATTATCAGGTTCGAACTCCGCTTTAGCTGAGTTAGTTTGGTCACCCATCATTGGCCTTTATATTTACAGTGTTGCTCACACCCAAGTACCTAGTTAATGGATTGATTCAAAAAAATTATCGGACATGTTCCAAAGCTTTAATGAAGTACATAGTAACCATGAATCTTCGAATTTTCAAAACTAGATTATTCAAAGTTATTCATCTATAGAAAATTTGGAGAGAACATTTTTACTAATTTCAAACTGTAATAATAAACTATGTAGACTGATTTGAAAGAATCATAAGTTGTTCATAGGTTGTGAATATTACGTCAATTATTCTAAATGATTATATACATTTAAGTGTTAAATTTCAAGACTTCATAAGTTTGTATGTTTCCTTATTACCTAGACTTTAAGAGAATGGGCACGGAAGTATATACGAGGGATTGCACCAAATAACGTAATGAATAAACCATTGATAACCCGAAACACAGAATATCTTATAACGAAAGTTGATGATATAAGCAAATCACAAATAATCCAGAGATCATTAACAAGAAACGAAAGTTCAAAAGAGTTATTAAATACTTCTTCTGTATGTTCTGAGTTCAATCAAACTTCAATTGATCAAAACGCAACGAGCCTACTTACAGTACAATCAGATTATAAACATTGTTCACACCAACTAAATCCAATTACCCCTAATTTTAAATGGAATAAACATCAAAATGAGCAACTTCATTATAAATCAGTGAATTTATCCAGTTTAAATTCTGCCCCATATTCATGTAAGTCATCAATATCAAACAATAATAGAACGATAATAAATGAAAGTCATCAAGAAGATCAAATCTCATCAAATTTGCATTATGACTATTTAAGACTGAATTGTGATACAATTAATAAAACATTAGATCACAACATTGAAAATGATGAAAATCTGTTAAAAGGTAATACTAGGAATGATATAAATGATCAATTAATTTGTCACAATATTGAAAGTGATAAATTATTGAAAACGTAAGTTTACATAAATTATAGTTATACTAAGTTTGTTTTCATTCATTTGGTTAACATATTTAACTTAACTATATGTTGTAATTGGACAATTATAGTATTAATCATTATTGTACTTAATGATCAACATGAAATGACTGTTAGTCACATTAATATGAAGCTAAGGTTTAGTATTTTCAATGAAAAGTTGAAATATTCTTCAAAGATATTTTTAATTTACATCAATCAATTTCAAATTTGATCTATTATGTTAATATGGAATTATCAGATGGAATTAGGATCCATTATTAAATGTTATTGAATTTATAATCTGTGTTAATTTCGAAATTGTTTTTATTAAAATGGGGGTTTGTGGGAATTGCAACGATTTTAATAGTTGTATTCGTGAGTCGATGTAAGCTAGATCATCAATGAAAACCTGGAAGCACCGAACGGTCATTTTGTCCTAGTAAAAGATTCCTCACCAGTGAGCATCCAAGATCCCGCATGTAGGATACGTCCTATTGTGGGACTCATCAGCAGTGCGCTCAATTTCGTGGATTGGTTGAAGTTAGACATTAACACCGTTAGATGCCAGCACAGTGGTCTAGGGGTTGAGTGCTCGCGCGCGAGACTGGTAGATCCTGGGTTAGTGTCTCGTGAGGCAGGATCGTACATGCGCACTTCTGAAGAGTCCCACAACAGGACGGAACGGCCGTCCAGTGCTTCCAGGTTTTCCATGGTGGTCTAGCTTCAATTGACTCATGATTTCAACTACATAAAATTCATAATATCATTTAAACATTATAAATTTTTATCTTTAATTTTTTTTCTTTTAAAGTACACTTGAAGGTGAAACAATTGATCAAAGTTATATAATGAATCCAAAGAAAATTTATTTTTCATTACATAACAATAATAATAATAAATTATCAAATAAAAAATTCAATCATCAATTATATAAACCAACAAAATCGAATAGTTTAAATAATAATATTAAATATAAATTATTAAATATAAAAAATAAATCAATTTTCACCACCACCACCACCACAACAACAACAAATAAATATTTTAAAAAATATTCAAATGAAAAAGTGAGTTTATTTTAAATAATTAAACCAACAAAAAAAACAAATTTAAATTTTAAATCATTTATGTGAGATACGTTGTGGGTTTACCTAACTAAATAACTGATTGTATTCATCTTAATTATATAATAAATCAAATAAAAACAAGATTTATGAAACTGAATAAACACATTAACTATATATGCTTGTGCGTCAGTCACTGGCTGCTCCAAAAATAAAAATATAAAAGAAGAAAAATACATAACACCTTGAACAGATAGATGCATATGGTTATATGACTCGGCTTAGTTGCAGATGTTTACTTCTTTTTTTTGAAGAAAAAAGCCAATCACGTAATTAATAAAAAGCTTCGTAAATGGATTAATTAAACTAGTGCAAGTCATTTGTTCATGCATATTCAAACTTAATCTTATTTTAAGCAAAGAACATTAAATATTTCTAGTTCTATGTATATTCTGCTCTGAATTTCTTTGTTAAAATTTTTTTATTTTTAAAATTTGATTCAAGTTTAATGAATTAAGTTGTTTCTCTATTGTGCTAGGATTTGTTTGGTTTTAGCCGGTCAACTAAACATGATCTGCTTTACGTGAAAGTTGATATATGATTAAAACTCATATCAGCAATTGAACAGACCATTAAATTATAAGTCACTGTTCATGTATTTCAAACATCTTGGTAGTAACGTTTCTGATTGTATCGTTGAATAGTTCGATTTTATTTATTCAAAGGAACATGAATTTCTTCAAGTATTACGTATGACTAGTTGCTTCTAAAAATGTAATGTAGTAGGCAATACATGGAAAATTATAATAACTTAGATGACCAAAAGTAACTATTTTTATTTGATAGACATAGACCAGCATCCAAGACTAAACTTTTATATTTAAAATTATCATAGGATTGATTGAAACAAACATAACAATGGAACGTTTTATTCATCACTTCATTGAGTCATCATATGCCTACTGACTTTCACATGGTTTTTGTCGTATTATCATATCATCTAGAGAATTATTAAAAATGATGTCGCAAGCAGTAGGTATTTTGCCCGATCATTTGAATTTTCGACTGGACGCATCCACAATAACATATCAAAATTGTAAACCCTGAGTCATGGAGACACCAAATATTTATCTGCTGTTTTATAAGAGATTATGAAGTCCATAGTTTGACATCATTTGGTATAAACTCTGTACACATTTAAAAAAAGTGTTGAACCAAGATAAAAAAATAGCAGAAAGCTGCACTTTGGTTTTAGTATATTTTGCGTTAATATTAACTCTAAACGTAAACGCTCTTTAAACACTTAATTTATTATACATTATCAGCATCTTGTCTAAAGAATAATAATAGGGTCAGAATATTGTATACAAATATTAATTATATTCAATATTAGATTTCCATTACATAACCACAGAATCGCGAAAAGTTTCTAGTGACTATAAAGCATTGACTGACTGTTTGGGACTACTTAGGTTTTGTATTTATCGAATCTTTATGATTTTCATAGATTCTTCAATAGCTGTTAGACAATCACAAAAACTATTTATCAATTTGACTGTGTTTAAATTTACCTTAAATAGAACTTAAACCCATGATTATTTTTAGACTAAACACGTTAACTCAAAGAAATTTAGTCGAAATGAACCACGATATGGATTTTACCATTCTCCATCTGGATATACAAAACATTTTAGTCATTCTGCAAATATAAATAGTTCGACTGTTATCAATACCAAGAACAAACCATTTTCAGCAAAGTGTCAACTACTGCAAAAGTCAAAAAATGATAAAGTATTCAATGGGATTATCAACAACTTTGTCTATCATCAAAGGTCGCGCTCATGTAGACTAAAATCAATAAAAACACCTCACTGTGAAAATAAATTACTAACTAAAGATAATACTTGGCAAAGTCAACCGTCAAACATAACCTGTATAAATAATTGTAATAGTAGTGAAGCAAACTGTCATGATTCACTTAGTGAGAGCGATTTAAATGCTATCACCAAGAACAAAGAAAATACTCTCATTCCATTGATGAACCGATCAAATTCATCGACAGATTTACAGATGACTTTAAAATCTGAAGATTGTATCAAAGAAATTAAAGAAATGTTTAAATCAGTAACATTGGACTGATGGTAAGTATTTTGCTGTTGTTCTTCTAACCAGTTAAGAAATCCTTAATACACAAACCAATTTATACTTTCGTTGTACGTTCTTTGTATCTTTGAGACATGTTTAAAAACAGATTTAATTGTCTTTCTACAATATGAAGAAATTAGTAGTGAAAAATGAACAATTTTCAGGTCCATTTTTCACATGTATATAGTCTTCAAGATGTATTTGACAGTAATCTCTTTTTATTCTTCTTTTTCCCACTTGCTTTTCCTTCTCACATTTCTATACTACTATGGTCAAACACAAACATAAAAATTGACCACATTTCATTAGAGCTTTTATTGAATTGATTTTGTATGAGTAAAAATGAATAATTTTCATAGTAAATATGTTTTACTTCTTATTAACATATCTTTTTATCAATAATTACAAAACTATCTTCTTTGACAACTTGCACCTGAACAAAAGTGATGACGATGTAAATTCTGAAGAATAGCTTGAAAATAGGCAGAGATGGATTAAGGCTATATCGAGGCATTACGCACAGTATGCACATATGCCAATTAGAGACTGACCAGTTGCAGTCCTAACACATCGATGGGAAGATTCAAACAAACAATACTAAATGAATTTAGCTTGAAAATAGTTTATTAAATATTAAAAACGTTTTAGTTTCTGTCATAATTAATCGAATAAATTATAAAATAACCAATAATGGTTCATGGAAAACGTTACACCGTAAAAAGCAACATTGAAATGTTTTTTTTCCTTCATCCGTCTGCCTAATAATATACAAAAGAGAACTGGTCTCGATCTTGTTCAAAGCATAGGTACGATAGGCTATCTAGTTCGATCTTGAGGCTAGTGATGTGTGATTTCGATTTGTAACTAAACGACTTTGGGGTAGAGCAAAGAAAACTATTCTATCGCTTGACTGGTTGACAAGCGAGAGAAAGAGAAAAAAAGACGAACCGACTGGAGCGTTACTCGATTTATTCCTGATTCAGATTAGGGCAAAAAGACATGAATAAATTGATGATTACCACGATCACGACCCACAAACAGTTAGGAAAATTTCACTGTGCCCAGAGTAAAAAAGTAGGTAGAGAAGAATACGTTTAAAATACAATAATTTTGGAACAGAATAGGGTATATTAGTGAACCATGCATATAACAGTTCATAGAATAAACCATGGACAAAACTTAGTGTTAATATTTTACAAACACCAGATTAAGTGAAATAATTCCCACAAAAATAGCTTCCGTTGTTTGTCATTTTTTTATTTACATCACTTTTACTTACGCATATACTTTTGTAAGCTTTAGCTGATATATTACACGAGAACCAGATTGACTATTATTAATTGGTCAATGGTTACTAGCATATTCCTTATTCAATGATGGGCAAATCTTATCAATTTGGCAATGAATTCACTAGTTGAAGTGACTACAAATCTAGTCATTTTCAATTTTCAGCAATCTATTATGTACTCTGTTCTTGAAAAGTGTGATGGAAATCATTATAAATTATAATTCATACTGAGCTTAATTAAAGATAAATTTTAGGCTGTTTCAATGCTTTTTCTAAAATAAATTATATATTCACCTGAACGATAAGTATAATGTTATATAAATATATACTAAATGTAGTTTCCTTTAGAAATTATAACTTGGTCATTATATTTAAATAAGGAAATATTTCTCAAGCTTGATGTTTGACTTCCTTTGAAATTATCCTGAACTTCCCAGTGTCACCTGTTTCTCTGAAATCTTAAAACTTTTGACACTGAGAGAAACACTAGTTTTTTTCCTGCGAGTAAATGATCAGCTGATAGCATCAACCGACTAAATGTAAATACTCCTATGCAATAAATGTCATTGTGTTATTTTTACGAATTAATGATTTCTTTGTACTTGATAACCCTCTGATTACGAGCTCCGAATATAATACGTTCATGTAGGTTTTCCTAGTTCTGCCTGCCTTAAATTGCATAATTTAGAGAATTCATAGTTAGCACATTAATTCGAATACTTGTAATCATCATATTGGCGTCGCCATAGAGCCTGTGATTGAACTGTTGGATTTACAAGCTTTCAAAGATCAGAATGAAAGTTTTTAAGTCTCGAGTGTGATCAGAAAAATGTCAAGTATGATGAAATTGTATCTACTTTCCTCATATTCGTCGGAGAAGATGACTAAAGCTTACTAAAAACTTTGATATTCCCAGATAAGCCTATTTCCCTTCCATACTCAACTCTTAAAGAGCTACTACTAAACCATGTAAAGTGTACTAATTTCGAATGCCGTGGAAGGTTAAAATTTCATAAGATGATTCGTCAGGACAATCAAAAGGTTAGAGAATTTGTCCATGAATTGCAGAAACAAGCTGCCAAGTGTAATTTTGATGATCAACTTTATGTGCAGCTGCGGGATAAGTTTATTGTTGGGATGAATATTCCGAATTTAGAAAACGAAATTATTCAGAGGCTCAAAAGTCTATTCCAAAAAATTAAAACAGCACGTATTAAATATGAGGCAGTAAACGAGCTTGATTTTCAGTCAGTGAAAAATTCTAATTTTCTGCCTAGTCGTCGTGATGATCTATACCATCAAGGTCACTCAAGCTCGCGTTGGTTTATTAATGGTCCCCATTTTAGTGGAAATATGAAAAGTGATTCAACAAAGAATTGCAAAGCAGGTTACAGAAGTGATCACAGATTCGGTAAATGTTTATCCCATGGCGAATTTCATTCTCGTAATTCATATGCATTTCGTATTGCTAAATGTTTTAAGTGTGGCAAGTTCAGTCAGTATTCAAAACTACTGTTCATTTTGCTTCAATTTGTAATCAACCTTGTAATTTGAGTCCCGTTAATTGGGATGTTCCTAATGATCATTTATCTTTATTCACCATTCCGAAAGGCAATGTTCATGTTCAAAAGCGATTCTGTGCATCCCTTGGTTCATTTCATGACTTTGTAGTGACTGGCTGGTCTCGATAAGAACACAATTGGAATAAAAGAAACAACTATTATTATTGTAACCAATTGTACCAGAGATTGTTTTACTGTATTTGTTTAACTGTATCAGACTCACTTCTTGTTCCGCTATCAGCCTTGTTCGGTTCGAACTTTTCTTACGCTCTGTCCATTTCGCCTGTACCCGTTGGCACGTCTCGGTATTCTATCAATACCACGAGATCGCCAATAAATATACTTGATCTGGACTAGTTAGAGCCTTCGGATTTACGAGTTATCAAAGGAACCAAGTCGTTTTTGGGCGCGTAATCGAATAGTAGTGGTGATCATAGTCCGTCCTCGACTCGACACCCACTACAACTTTATTGGGAGCACAGGCAGTATATAGTCCATTATTTCATCCAAGAACTTGTAATCTTTAGGTCCTAACTTTGTGGTCAGACCCAATGGAGTGTCAATATTGTGGATTACTGAACACAGACTGCCCATACGAGGATTCTATGAACTGCTAATAAGATATAATAATTCTTCATACATACCTTGTGAAGTTTTAGTTAGTCAAGCAGGACCGTCAATACTGGGCTTAAAAAAATTGAAAAAGCTCAACATTGAGTTGTCTTCATCAGTTTCTAAAGAAACCTCTGATGATTTACTAAAAGATTTCATAGCTGCATATGCTAAGTTCAGTGAATGTATGAAAATTCAGCGTATAAAACTCAAAGTATATATATATATATATATATATATATATATATATATCCAGTCTTTCTTAAAAGACGAGTAATTTCTTATGGTCTTTGAGATGTAGTGTATAAAAACGAGTGAAAATACTTCGATCATAGGACAAATTAAATATTCTAGTACGTAGGATGTAAATTAACCGGTATTCTATAACTGCTAAATCTGTGTTACCTTCTCTGTCTTTAATCTCTTCCCTTGGACTCTCGTGTATTGTTTTATAATACTTATTCAGTAAAAAGTTGTATCCTTAGAAATTACCATGCGTATGTGGTAGCGCAAGTTTGTCGTGTAAGTAGAAGTCATACCACTGCTTACACTGACTCGTCTTTTCATGAATCCAGCAGTACGACTTCTTGAACCTCTGAAAGACAACATTTGGGATGGACAGAAAGTAATATATTTGATACAATGAGGGAGAAGTTGTGTGAACACACCTGCATGACCAACCAATGCCACTTCCATTATTTCCTCTTGCGTATAACTGTTGACCTTACTTTCGTCTGTTACCACTCGCAGAGGAGCATGGGTCACTCACCAGCATTCCCCATCCAACTCTGTCCTGAACAATCCTTTCCTGTAGCTTCCAGTTCTATTCATCTTATGCATGTCTACTTCTAATCTCCGGTGGTGTGTGCTTTGTGATCGTCCTCTTTTCCGTTTCCCTTCGGCATTCCAAGTTAGCGTTTGTTTCCTGAAGCAGCTTGATGATTTACACAATGTGTGTCTTATCCACTTTCAGCACCTTCTCATAGTCCCACAGTAGGTTGCTGCTGATGGTATCTGCTCAACACATATTCACAATCTTTCGTAGACAACTGTTTATGAATACTTGCGCCTTTTTGACGACGGTTGTAATAGTTCTCCAAGTTTCAGCTGCGTACGGTAGAACTATTTTGACGTTCGTATTGAAGATTTTGACTTGATATTGATTTTTGAGTTGCATATGTCCTTCAACTTTAGGGATGCTCACCTTGCTTTTTTCAATCCTCGACTTTGCGTCTGCATCAGATCCTCCAAGTTCATCGATGATGCTGACCAAGCGCGTGGAAATTTTATACCTGTTCCAGAGCTTTTCAATCAAGTGTGATTGGGTTGGTGTTCCCCGAGTTCTGTTTGAGGGTCTTGGTTTTTCATTTGTGTGTGTCGAGGTTTACTACTTCAGAGGATGCTGATACACTGACTGTCTTCAACTTCGTTTGTTTGTTGTGTATGGGATATAAGAGCCAGATCATCTGTGAAATCGGAGTCATCTAGCTGTGTGCAGGCTGTCCATTGTGTTGCGTGCTTCTCATCAGATG